TTGAGGAGTTTGAGGAGTAGTCTGAGGAGTTTGAGGATAATCTGAGGAGGTTGAGGAGTAGTCTGAGGATAATCTGAGGAGGAGTCTGAGGATAATCTGAGGAGGAGTTTGAGGATAATCTGAGGAGGAGTCTGAGGATAATCTGAGGAGGAGTTTGAGGATAATCTGAGGAGGAGTCTGAGGATAATCTGAGGAGGAGTTTGAGGATAATCTGAGGAGGAGTCTGAGGATAATCTGAGGAGGAGTTTGAGGATAATCTGAGGAGGAGTCTGAGGATAATCTGAGGAGGAGTTTGAGGATAATCTGAGGAGGAGTCTGAGGATAATCTGAGGAGGAGTTTGAGGATAATCTGAGGAGGAGTCTGAGGATTAGACCGAGGAGTAGTCTGAGGAGTTTGAGGATAATCTGAGGAGTTTGAGGATAATCTGAGGAGGAGTCTGAGGATTAGACTGAGGAGTAGTCTGAGGATAATCTGAGGAGGAGTCTGAGGATTAGACTGAGGAGTAGTTTGAGGATAATCTGAGGAGGAGTCTGCGGATAATCTGAGGAGTAGTTTCAGGAGTAGTCTGAGGACTAGTCTCAGGACTAGTCTGATGAGGAGGACTCTAAGGAGTAGTCTGAAGAGTAGTCTCAGGAGGAAGATCTGAGGAGGAGTCTTATGAGGAAGATCTGAGGAGTAGTCTGATGAGGAGGGGTCTAAGGAGTAGCCTGAGGATGATGAGTAATCTGATAAGGAGTAGTCTGAGGATGATCTGAGGATAACCTGATGACTAGTCTAGGAGTGGTCTAATAAAAATGTAAAATATTTTCAAAGAAAAAATTCTATGAATTTTATATTTGAATTCTTAGCATTATACTGAATAAAATAAACATAAATATCAAAATTTGAAATTGAAAACGCCAAAAAATTGATAATCCACATTCAATATTTTGTAAGTGGCGTACTTTTTGAATACTCGCCATACGCCTTGGAGTTCTCAATTTTGAATTCGCCTTTATATGGGCGACCTCAGAAAAATACGCCATTAAGAAAATATTGTATGAGATTTTAAATTTGAACACGCTCTACCTTAAGGAATTAAATTTATTAAGATATATTTATATATAATAAACGATTACTTAAAAAAAGTATTTCATCGCTTATGTAAGTTTCAAAAAAATCACGAAAATAAAAAAAATCAAGATTAAAATTTTATTTTTAATTTTTGAATTTCTCAAATGGCGAAATTTTTGGGCGAACAAAAAAATGTACGCCCGGTCAAATGGCGTGTTTAACGCATCCCTACTCTCTCCCCAAAATTCAAAAAAAATCGTTTTTCTTTTTTTCACCATGGAAAATATGCTTTTTGATTTTGAAAATTTCGAAATGCATTTTTTAGGATTTTTTTGGTAACTTTAATACGGTGAATATGATTTATTTTAGGCATTCTTTTAGGTGGTTTGTTCAATTTTAAGTTTTGAACAATTTTACAAAATTATGGAAATAAAGAATTTATGAACTCTCCTTTTCTCTTTGAAAACAGACAAGATATGAAGAAATAAAGCATATTTGTTTATAGTAGTGTTGAATCAACAACAAATGTTTCATTCTGTAATTTTGAGAATTTAGAAGCAAGAAACCAAATCAACTATTTTGATGACAGTGCTGAAATAATTGAAAGATGTAATTATATAATCAACTTCCAAACAAATTTTGATACTGGATTAATTGAAGTTGACACATATTGACTAGATATTTTAAATGTCGAGTCAACAAAAATCTGACACATGACTTCACTGATATCATTTCTAGTTAAAAAACATAGAATACATCATTGATTTTCATATGAATATTTTTATCATTTGTTATACTTCTAAATATTCAAATCATAATGGATATAATTAAGATTTTATTGTTTCATTATATTTAAGATTTCGACAAAAAATCGATTCTGGCTTTTTTGTTGTAGAATAAAGCATCTGTCTATATTGTATTACAATAATATGGTAAGGAAAATTCCAACAATTTATATTTTCACTCTAAAAAAGATATTTTCTAGAAAAAAATACATTAAAATCAATTTATTCCATAGCTCTAAGTTATTTATGGTCAATTTCCATAGACTTATGGCAATCTCTTTTTAGGGGAATAAACATTCAGGGTTGAGACAGAAATATTTAAAAATGACTTAATATTATATTAAATTTTATTATTTCGAAACATTCTCGTTTTTACGTTGAATGTCAGTATCCCCAAAAAGAATACTGTTAGTAAATTGTAAATTATTAGAAATAAACCCATAATTCAAGGTGTCGTATTCAGAAGTGAAGAAACAAAAAACTGACAATGACATCACAGGAGGTACATGACGCCACAAATTCTGAGATTTATTCGCGTCCAATATGAAGGATTCGGTGATCTAATTAAATTAGATGGCAAATCATTTACATTTGCCACTTTGATTTGCGGTAAAACATATCAAGAAGCAAGTAACTTATTAAGAGAGGCTGGTATAGATGTACCATCGTCACAATACTTTTACAGGATTCAAAAGGTGATTCTCGAGAAAGCGAAGGAATTAGCTGAAAAAAGTGTAAAAAATCATGCATTGCAACTTGAGCCTGGAACTGTTATCACCATCGATGCTCATTTCTCGCATGTTAGAAATGCAGACGAGTGTGAGTTTGTAGCAATGGGTCCTAAAGGTGACATTGTGGCAAAATTCGTAATCGTTAGATCTCGTAAAGGTAAAGCTGGAAATTATACTGGTGCCTCATGCCAAATGGAATCTGTTGCCGCTGATCAGGCTCTTCAAATTTTGGAAGATACGGTGGGAAAAGGTATTGTTGACGGTTTTTGCCATGATAGGGATAATAAATCCCGTAATATTGTTGCATGCTAAGTTCGGTCAACGATAGGAATTGAGGGGAAATTAATCGTCGAGGAAGTACGATTATGTAAAGTAAAAAATGTTGTGGGATTTTTAATATTGTATATAATTTTATAATAAAATTTTTGTGAGACATTTTAAGAAGCACATATAATTTTTTGAATTTAAAAATTAAAGTAGTGTTGAATGAATTTATTGATTAATTTAATACGGATATTTCTCAAAATTAATCAAAAATAGGTTTTCAGAGAACTTTTGAGATATCTTTTCAAAATGTCTTTTTGAAAATATATAAGTATATATATTCAATTGAAAAAAGGTATTTATCAAAATTCTAAATTCTTAATAAAAAATAACTTTTCAGAGGATTGTGATTTTGAAAGCATGAGTAATAAGTAAAATATCTACGATTTTAATGAGGGAATTGTTCCTTATGAGGTATACATTATAACTATATACCTCATAAGGAACAATTCCCTCTTGATAGCTGGGAAACTTTCTCTGAATAACTTATCATTTGGAGAAAGTTTCCCAGCTATCTATTAGAAACTAAAGGCTGTGAGGCACTAATATATAATCAGTGCCTCATAGCCTTTAGTTTCTTATTAAAAACGAGAAAACTTGTTCGAAATGATAAACAATTTCGAACAAGTTTTCTCATTTTAAGGAGGGAATTGTTCCTTATGAGGTATACAGTATGAATATATACCTCATAAGGAACAATTCCCTCTTGATAGCTGGGAAACTTTCTCTGAATAACTTATCATTTGGACAGAAAAAGTGACACTTTACATGGCAAAAAATAGAGCCTTACTTTTGAGATACTTGAGATTGAAACTGAATCTTATGAGGCGGTGATCTTGAATCACTACCTCATAAGGTTCAGTTTCATATAAAATTTGTTGCAATTTGTTATTCTTTTGCAATTATTTCTTATAAGATTTTACATCTTTTAGCGGGGAATGTTTGTTATCATGTATATATTATAAATATCTACACGATAACGAACATTCCTCGTTAAATTGCTGAGAAACTTTGAGGAAATGTCGAACAATTTCCTCAAAGTTTCTCAGATTTATATAGATAACTAGAGTCCCTAGGCACTGATTCTGGTTCAGTACCTAGGAGGCTCTAGTTCTCTAACGAACTGATAAAATGTTTTTAAATTTTTGGATATTGCTACCTGTGAAGCACTGACTTCAAGTCAGTACCTCACAGGTAGCAATTACATTGAAAGATGGGAGAAACTTTGTCCGAATGTTAAACTATTCGGACAAAGTTTCTCCCATTTGTAGTGGAGATGGAAGGCTTTGAGGTATATTGTATTAATATATACCCAAAGCCTTCCATCTCCACTTGAAAGTGTCCAAACTTTGGGTTAATAGTTTGCAATTAACCCAAAGTTTGGACACTTTCTAGAAGGAATTGGATGGTAAGAGATATACATTCATATGGTATATCTCTTACCCTCCAATTCCTTCTTAAAATGGGAGAAACTTTGTCCGAATGTTAAACTATTCGGACAAAGTTTCTCCCATTTTTTGAAGGAATTGGAGGCTATGAGATACTGATGCAATGTCAGTAACTCATGGCTTCCAATTCCTTCCTAAAACTCATAAAAGTGGACATTACATGCATATAAAATTTGACATGTAAAGTCCACTTTTTGTGAGCGGGGATTTGACTCCGTCAAATCCCCTTTTTCGTTTACGAGAAAGCCAAATTCTCTCAAAAAGTTAAGTAGGACCAATTTTTTATAAAAAAAATCCAATTTCATTATGAATGTTAATTAATTTATATAATTATTGAATTAAAAATTTTCTTTGAGATTATGAAAAGTTCTTTGAAAAGTTATTTTTTCTCATTTTTAAATATTGTATTAGCCTATTTATTTATAATCCAAATTAAATAACTTTAAATTCAATATTTAAAGAATAATTTTGAAGGAATTGAGTTACTTCCCCCGACGATAAAATTGAGAGGTTTACATTTTGACCGAACTTAGCATGCAACAATATTGTTCATAAGCATTTTCCTGATGCTGTTGAATATCAAGATGGCTTCCATTGCAAAAAGAAATTCGAATTGTGCTGGAAACATCTTACTTCTAATGAGTATGCAAAAAGTGACATGCCTATCGTCGACTCAAAAAAATTTCATGGTATCAAAAACAGACTCAAAATATTCTTTAATACTTTATTGGATAAGCATATTTCCAAAGAACAGAAGCTATTTTATTGGCTCCACGCCGTAGATCATCTAATTGGAAATCATTCACCAGAATATTGTTTACATTCCACAAAAGATGAAGAAAAAGAACATTTTATATGGACAGCTGGACTTGAAAACGAAAATGCAAGAAATCATCTACTCGAATTTTTAAAAGATTCCGGATCAGTTTTTCAAATTGTTAATCCGAATTATGCAACTCATATAAATGAGTCATATAATGCTCGATCATGCCGTTTTAATCCAAAACATACAAATTATCTCAGTTCATATGAAGGCAGAACAGATATTGCTACAATTTACCACAATGAAGGATATCAAGGATTACTTGAACTACGTAATTTATCAGGAATTAAGCCAATTCATCCTATCCTTCGGGATTCTCTTATTGAAGAGCACAAAGAAAAAAAGTTGCGCTCGGAACGAGAAAAGACAGAAGAATATCGATCTGCGCGCTCAGAAAGACGAAAGTCAAGAAAATTGATTGTAAAAGGAAAAGGAGATTACGGAAATGGACAAGATGTGGAAATAATTTCAAATGAATCACAAAATTCTTCAGAAATTCCAAAGTATGTAATTGCTGGAATGCCTCAAGAAAAGAGGGAACCGTTTCCATTACCTCAAATTCATGGTTTTCAAGAATAATTTAATAATTTAAGGGTTGACCGACGCCCATTCAATTTTTGAGAGGGCATTCAAAATTTATTGATATTAAGTATCAAATATCTCGTTATCTATAATTTTTTAAAACATGGTTGTTTCAGATAATGTTTTACCTTAATGAGATGTATGCAACGAGAATGAATTTTCGGTCACAATATTGTTCTATAAAAATTTCAAAATTTTTCGATTTTTCTTTCGATTGGAAAAATTTTTTATGGATAAATTTTTTACAGAAATACTATGGAATTTTTAGATAAAAACAGTGACATATCATGCATTATTGTACCCTTGATATAATGCAACATATAAATCAGAAAAATAATGAGGTCGAAAAAACTCAAAAACGTTGACCGACCTCTTTTTATCAAAACACCGCTACACATCATAGATCATTTTGCAACAGCGCTCCTCCGCGGATTCGACATATTTAATAAATTAGCAAAAAAAGTATAAATCGTACTATTCGAATAGCACAATAGAAAGAATGAATATTAACAATTGTGTTTTTGATGATTAAAGGTTTGAAAAAGATAGTTTGAAAATAAATTTTTTTGTTTTGATTTTTTTCTATAAAAATTTTCTTTATTTTTTAAAAACTCTCCCATTTTGGAATGTTGCTAGAATTACAAACGGCAAAAAGAATTAATTATTGCTGAATATATATTTATTCTATGGCATTCCAAACGGGAACCGCGGTTGGTTACCATGGATTTCCGTCACCGGTCACATTTTAAAGATTTTTAAAGCCTTATAAAAATATGCTTTGTAAATCATTTTTTGTAAATCGGCAAAAATTTGGTAATTTTCTTCAACTAATAAATCTGCGAATAGCATTTATAATACAAGAACAATCTTTTAAAATGCGTTTGATTCATTTTTGTATAATTTCATATAGGCACATATATTCTTCCGGGACTTTCCGTGATTTTACCGTAAAATCATTAGTTTACACCAATTTTTCCGTATTTTGAATAGTTTACTGCACTTTTTCCGTAAAATTGAGTTACGGGAATCCGCAAAATTTCCGGACCTCATTTTTCATAGAATATAATAATAATATTTGATAAAAAGATATATTATTTATATTTTTGATTTTTGAATTACGGAAAAAGTGAATTGTTAACTTGATTTTTTTATATGGTTAATTTTTCAAATGATATTATGAAGATCTAAAATATTAAAAGTAAAAAATTGAATTACGGAAAAAGTGATGTCAAAAGTGAAATAAATTTGCAGAACAATTTTCATTGAAATAAGACATTGAGTATCACACTTTAGTGAATCAACATCTATAAGAATGAAGTGTTTTGAAGCTGAAATAATATTGAATAGAAATTAATTTTTTCTGAAATTTTGAATGAAATTATGGGAAATAAAAAAATTACTAAATATTGTATTCATACAAATATATTATTTTAAAGGAAAAATAGATGCTGATAGAAACGATGAAAAATTTTGAAAACTTTACAATTAATTTATGTTCGTTAACCACAGAGCTTGCAATCCAAAGCTCACGTTAGACTACAAGAGTCATGAAGTCTCATACTAAGGGATATCCAACATATATTTTAATAATCTAATGTTTGTGACAAATATTCAACATAAAATTAAGTTTTCGTTTCGTTACAAGGCATTCATACTTTGGAGATATCATATTTAATGTACAGAAAAGTTAATATTAAACAATACATGCTAAAGAATTAATAAATAAGATAATAAAATAAATTTATACGTAATTACTTTCATTTAATATGCTTTATGCTGTATAATATTGATTAAGAGGCATTAAAAGGTTCCATAGTCTGCTTTTATAGGCAAGATTTTTGATAAAAATTTAAAATTTTGAAAAATGATGAGAAAAGGAAAAAAAAGGTAAATGAGAGCAAGAGGAGGGAAAAAAAGAAAAAGAAAAGAAAGGGAAGGGAAAAATAAAAGAAAGAAGGACATATAAAAATTTAGATGCGCATTCTTAATGCCGAGGCGGCTTGCCGCCGAGGCGCGATTTTTTTAGGCCTCTACGGTAACCCGGCAATGTTTTTTTAAATCTTGTACAGCCCTAATTTATTCCGTTCCAAATTGAAGTGTTTTGCAAAATGAGAATAATATCCCAAAGTTTTTTTGTATTAATCTTATAATCAAAATATTGATTCCTAACACCATATATCCATGTGTAACAGATTTTATAGAATAGTAATTCAAGCTGAATTATTCAGATATTGAAATCTGATCAATATCTAATAATACAGATGGTATATTCAAATAGTTGTTTAAAAATGAATAGCTTCTTTGTATAAAAATGAATATTTTGTCACAAACTTTATATCATTCCCATTATATTTATTTCAGTAAAATTTATTGGCACTATATACAATTTTGGAAAATTGAATTGTTGCATGCTAAGTTCAGTCAACGATAGGAATTGAGGGGAAATTAATCGTCGAGGAAGTACGATTATGTAAAGTAAAAAATGTTGTGGGATTTTTAATATTGTATATAATTTTATAATAAAATTTTTGTGAGACATTTTAAGAAGCACATATAATTTTTTGAATTTAAAAATTAAAGTAGTGTTGAATGAATTTATTGATTAATTTAATACGGATATTTCTCAAAATTAATCAAAAATAGGTTTTCAGAGAACTTTTGAGATATCTTTTCAAAATGTCTTTTTGAAAATATATAAGTATTATATCAAATTGAAAAAAGGTATTTATCAAAATTCTAAATTCTTAATAAAAAATAACTTTTCAGAGGATTGTGATTTTGAAAGCATGAGTAATAAGTAAAAAATATCTACGATTTTAATGAGGGAATTGTTCCTTATGAGGTATACATTATAACTATATACCTCATAAGGAACAATTCCCTCTTGATAGCTGGGAAACTTTCTCTGAATAACTTATCATTTGGAGAAAGTTTCCCAGCTATCTATTAGAAACTAAAGGCTGTGAGGCACTAATATATAATCAGTGCCTCATAGCCTTTAGTTTCTTATTAAAAACGAGAAAACTTGTTCGAAATGATAAACAATTTCGAACAAGTTTTCTCGTTTTAAGGAGGGAATTGTTCCTTATGAGGTATACAGTATGAATATATACCTCATAAGGAACAATTCCCTCTTGATAGCTGGGAAACTTTCTCTGAATAACTTATCATTTGGACAGAAAAAGTGACACTTTACATGGCAAAAAATAGAGCCTTACTTTTGAGATACTTGAGATTGAAACTGAATCTTATGAGGCGGTGATCTTGAATCACTACCTCATAAGGTTCAGTTTCATATAAAATTTGTTGCAATTTGTTATTCTTTTGCAATTATTTCTTATAAGATTTTACATCTTTTAGCGGGGAATGTTTGTTATCATGTATATATTATAAATATCTACACGATAACGAACATTCCTCGCTAAATTGCTGAGAAACTTTGAGGAAATGTCGAACAATTTCCTCAAAGTTTCTCAGATTTATATAGATCACTAGAGTCCCCTAGGCACTGATTCTGGTTCAGTACCTAGGAGGCTCTAGTTCTCTAACGAACTGATAAAATGTTTTTAAATTTTTGGATATTGCTACCTGTGAAGCACTGACTTCAAGTCAGTACCTCACAGGTAGCAATTACATTGAAAGATGGGAGAAACTTTGTCCGAATGTTAAACTATTCGGACAAAGTTTCTCCATTTGTAGTGGAGATGGAAGGCTTTGAGGTATATTGTATTAATATATACCCCAAAGCCTTCCATCTCCACTTGAAAGTGTCCAAACTTTGGGTTAATACTTTGCAATTAACCCAAAGTTTGGACACTTTCTAGAAGGAATTGGAGGGTAAGAGATATACATTCATATGGTATATCTCTTACCCTCCAATTCCTTCTTAAAATGGGAGAAACTTTGTCCGAATGTTAAACTATTCGGACAAAGTTTCTCCCATTTTTTGAAGGAATTGGAGGCTATGAGATACTGATGCAATGTCAGTAACTCATGGCTTCCAATTCCTTCCTAAAACTCATAAAAGTGGACATTACATGCATATAAAATTTGACATGTAAAGTCCACTTTTTGTGAGCGGGGATTTGACTCCGTCAAATCCCCTTTTTCGTTTACGAGAAAGCCAAATTCTCTCAAAAAGTTAAGTAGGACCAATTTTTTATAAAAAAAATCCAATTTCATTATGAATGTTAATTAATTTATATAATTATTGAATAAAAAATTTTCTTTGAGATTATGAAAAGTTCTTTGAAAAGTTATTTTTTCTCATTTTTAAATATTGTATTAGCCTATTTATTTATAATCCAAATTAAATAACTTTAAATTCAATATTTAAAGAATAATTTTGAAGGAATTGAGTTACTTCCCCCGACGATAAAATTGAGAGGTTTACATTTTGACCGAACTTAGCATGCAACAGAATATCATTTTATTACATATGTACTAATTTAATAAATGATCAAATTGCCAAAATCTTGAAATCGATTTCTAAAGTTGCTCAAAAATCGGAATACGTACAATTAATAATATCTTCATATGATGTTATTTGATTTGGTATACGAATTTTTTTCGCCGACATACCTTCCTGAAAAGATACGAACGATTTCGTTAATTTTTAAAAATTTGACATTGTTTATCTTAGCAAATGAATGTTAATTCTATTTTTGTAGAAATTATCATCAAAAAACAGTTTTGTAAAATTCGATTTCAATTGGAAAAAAGTAAAAAAAGAAATATGCATCAGAAATGAACCAAGTTTAGTTGGTGTCTAAATATTTGCTAGCATTGATTTTAACAACTGAGTTATAATATCGAAGCTGATGCGCGCGAATTTCAGATATTTAATGATTCACCATCCAGTTTCCATTCTTTGTATAAAATAGGAGATTAAAATTTTCATTAATACTCCTAGTAATTTAAAAATAATAAAAATTCTTTTGATTTTTCAACATAATGGAAAAAAATATTAAAAATAATCGAACAAATTAGTAAACAAGACATTTATTTCACAATATTTCTCAATATTTATAACGCTTACTGCGAGAATTCTAGTCAATGTATTTCATTCTTGGGAATAAAATAAATAAATTTGGTATTTTAATAGTTTGAAGCAACTACATTTAAAGAGGTTGCACAGGTGTTTTGCAGACAAGAAATAATAATCGCATGGGATTTGTAAATTTTAATTATATGAAATTGATTTAGACAATCGCGGTTAACAATAGAACAGTCTGCAAACAAATAGTATGGAAATCATTAACAATATGCAAACTCTAGAATGGATTGATGTTTATTGTAAATTTTATTCAATTACGGTAAATTTTGGAATTTTACGTGCTAAAATATATTGCAATCTAGGATGTGTAGTATTTGATACTAAAATAACGAATATTTTTGCTTGTTTTCTCGCATAATTTTAATATGATTGTAAAAAATTATGAGTTACGATCCTGAAAATCAATAATTTAACACCTCTCGACGAACCCTTTTAAATGGACACAAGTCAATTTTTTTGAGTTTTCGAGGGTATTTTACCAAAGCTGAAAATGAAAAAATCGGGAGGATTACGTCCTCTCAATTTAGGTCGGTCAACCCTTAAACAATTTTATTTTTTACAACTTTTAACTTTACTATAACATTACATAATGTATACACAATATATTTGTTATATTATTTTAAATTTTACAAATCCAAGAGATTCTGATTGCAAAAAAAATTATGATTTAATGCGATAATTCTATGATGTTTGTAATATACTATTCATGTATATTCAGTATGACTATTATTAATGCATCTTAATGGGGATAAAGAAATAATAGATAATTGATTTTCACATATGATATATTTATTGTTGCCAATATAAATATTTTTGTAAGTATTTTATATTGTTACTCTTATGATGCTTATTATAAAACTCAAGATAAAAAGATTTCAACAAATTTCATTATATCTCATTTTTATTAATGTGATTATTATTATTAGTAGTAGTGTTTTATATTAGAACTCTTAAATACGATATTTGGATTTCAAGTGAAGTCACTTTGTTGAGGCGGCCTTTAATTCAGTTTTCAAAAAAAAATATAAAGGATAATAAAGGATCATTATTTTATTCATATGATGGAGGACAGATTCATATATATCGATGTAATGTTGATGAATATTCAGCTTCGAGTATAAATGGTGGATTTGTTTATAATTCAAGTATTTCAACGGATCCATTTTCTAATGACTTAAAGTTCATTGGATTAAGTCCATGTGAAGGAGATATTATAATATTGTATGTCCGAATCAAAGAAAATAAAATTTGCTCAATAATTTCATGCAGATATTTTGTATCTTTTTTGTTAACAAGTAAAAAGTAATAAATTTATTCTATTTGCATCGACATTGATTTTTTTCATTCACAAACCCTTTTATAATACAATTTTATGAAAAATATTTTTAAAAGTTTTATTCAACCGTTGACGTCACAAAATAGGAATTACATCAACTTGAAAATTTCAACTCAACAATTTTAAGGTCGATGTAGATCACAAATTAAAATTAACGGCGCAGATACAATTTTCTGACGTCTTCTCACAGGTTGAAATTATAAGCATCTATTCACTCTATGTATTTTATCAGGCAAGTCTTCATTGATGCATAATATATCAATAGAGGATGTCAGTAAGTGGTAATTCTAAACTAAACTATATATATATGTATAAAAAGGGTTTTCACAGGGTCCAAAAAATGCGCAAAAACGATTATTTAAAAATGAATTTCCACATTTTTTGCGTATTTGAAAATTTTCGGAAAACGTGCCATTTTTTGAATGAAAAATCGATCTCAAAATCGATTTTTATTCAAAAAATGTTCACCTTTTCCTAGAATGCTGATTTTACTAAAAATTAACGCATTTGAATTTCATTCAAATGCGTCACTTTTTCCTTCAATCGCAAACTTTTGGAGTTGACCATTATTAAAAATCAAATCCATTGATAAAGAATAGCAACAGTTGCATATGGGAAAAAAAAATATAAAGATAAGATTTTATTTATATACCCAGATTTTTCTAACTTTTACCACCCCCTCAGGTATTTGTGAGAAAAACGATTATTATATTTTTTTATGGAAGAATAGCTCGCTTACCTAGAAAGGACTTCACATCTCTGACTAAAAAGAGTCTCGGATCATAAATAGGTTTGTGATCCAGTAAGCAAATCCAACAAAAAGTCTATTTTTTTGCCTTTTTTGGCGCTCATTTTATCGCATATACACATGAATATGTGGAAATCATTGGATCTTTTTAGGTAATCCATATATCCATGTAGTCTGGATCATCTTTCCTCGTAGGACCTCTTTACGGGTGCGAATACCCATAAAGTTCTCAAAAGATTCATTTATCATCTCCATGTTGAAAGAACTTGCGCCAAAAATGATATCTACGCAACAAACTACAGGCATATATGAACTAAATTCATAAAGCTCAGCTCTTAATTTACCAAAAACGTCGAAATCTTACTCATTGCAATTGCATTTTCTCAAAAGCTCAGAAGAAATACAAGATTTTGATTAAGCCGATGTTATAGATATCACAAATACTACATACTTACGCAATATCAAAATTGCAGGTAAAAGTTTCTTATCATTATGCTCATATTTGTTTTATAAACTAAAAATCTACTTATATTATTCACTAAATTTTTATATATTATTCATATACTTTAATAATTACAATGCTATTTCACTTTCAAAATGAATTTCGTAAATCAATATTATTTTTTTGAAAATTTATCCATTTTAGATGAAAACAACATGAAAATAAAATTTACGTAAAACAATATGCAAAAATAGTTTTTAAAAGTGGTTATTGATAATAAGAAAGTTTATAGTTTGCTTTGAAGTTTATTTTTAGAAAAAAAATTAGGATCCTATAATTAAATCAAAATAAAGAGTTATTTTAGAATCTATATTATCCATAAAACAATTATTTACATTTGTATTGGCTTTTTAATATTTTGAATAAAATTCAATTCCGCATTCCTAAAGATTTTTAAAAAATAGATAAATACAAAGATAGTATATATGCAGAAGATTTAGAATGTGAAGCAAATCAAATAAAGGACAATCAAATTTTCAAGGAGCAAAAAAGGAAAAAAATAGCCTATAGGCAATCGAACCTGAGCAAATATATCCAATTTGACAATAAGTTCCACTACACTAGGCAACAATCCCGGAAAGTTGCTTAGGAGGTGACATTTAATAGCTTATCCCAACGATAGGCGGTTTCCCCAACCTTAGAGGGGTGGTAAAAGTTAGAAAAATATGGGTATATAGGAAATTATCAATATAACACAATGTATATAAGATAGAATTAATGAGTTTGAACTTTAGCTTCATCTGCCTGGATTAACTTAAGTAGCATATCTTCAAGTTGTTCCACAGACAAAGAATAAGTCTTCAGACCAATTTGATCTTTTTTATCATTCAAAGCGTGGAGTAACTTTGGAATTTCATCACAAACAGGGAAAGTCAAAATATCATCTCTTTCTTCACTAACAACTGCTTCTGGAATTATTGACTTAACAAATTCCGCGATTTCCTTGCAATCAACGCCATCATTTGGTACAACTCCCAAAACATAACCGCATTTGTGTTCATGTCTTAATTCAGTTGATGTTCCACAGAACTTCAATTGACCACTTGATGCAATAAACAATCTTGAAGAAACAGCTTCTGCTTCTTCCAAAGCATGTGATGTAATAATCGAAGTAGTATCCTTAAGAGAAGAAATCATCTTCCAAATCAATTGTCTTGCCTGTACATCGACACCTGCTGTTGGTTCATCCATAATAACTAAAGGAGGATTTCCTAATAATGACATAGCGATGCAAAGTTTTCTCTTTTGTCCACCAGATAAATCTCCTGCTCTGTTATCCATCATATGTGTTAATTGGAGCTGAGAACCAAAGAATTCGACAGCTTGGTCGATCTGATCTCTTGGAACTCCTCTAAATGCTCCAAACAAATACAAATGCTCGCGAACACTCAATAAATTAATAATAACATTTCCTTGGAAACAAACTCCCAAATAATGCTGCATTTCTTTAAATCTGTCGGTCTCATTTCCTCCAAGAATATTAATCTTTCCTTCATCAGGTTCAATCGCTCCTGCCAAAATATTAATAAGTGTTGATTTGCCAGCACCATTTGGACCAATCATTACAATGACTTCTCCACGATTGATGTAAAAGTCAACATTATCAAGTGCAGTGACTTCTTTTCCTTGTGCTTTGAACACTTTCTTCAGTCCTTTTACCCTGACAAATTCACTTACTTCTGCATTGACTTTTGATGTTTGTATCTCTCCGCTATTCATCATTCTCTTCCAAGCAGATATCTTGAAGAGCTCAGACCATTTCAAAGGAGGAGTGCAGAATGGTCTTGACATACAAAGATTGAACAAAAAGAATAAGAAAAGATATAAAACGCAATCAATTAAAAGCCACATCAATCCCATCCATGCCGCGTATTTAGAATCTTTGCCCATGTGTGTCCACGTCATTGCTTGCTTGTGTGTATACTCAAGATTGTAGGCGCTCATGAGAACCATTTGATATGCGGATAAAGGAACAATGGAGAAGACATGTTTAAGTGCTCCGGCATCTGTGTTATCTGAAAGAGTGAAAAACATGTGGAGATATGAGAAGAATAATGTGAAAACAATCCAAATGACAGTTAAAGCACGTCCAGCACTTGCTTTCTTAATGAATGTTAAGATCCAAAGCTGGAAAAAGATATGTGAAATGATAAATAACAAAGATAAAACTAATAAGAGGGTGAAATCGGTATGTGTCATCATAAAACCATATGAAAGCATCGCACAAAAGCCAATGTAAGGTATAAATGAAAGAATGAACTGAGTTAAGAAGTTTGACAGCCAATAAGCTAATTCACTGCATCCCATCAAGAAAGTAAGTGACATAACTTTGGAATCCTTCTCTTCTAGAATGGTTTGGACATCTGGCATTGTTGCAAGTACAATCGGAAGAATTGCAAAGAATGCAACAGCAATAGAAACATCGAACTCTGATTCTTGTGAAGGTTTGGCATAGCCTTGGGTAGTAAGATTCATAGTAAGCATATTAATTGAATTCGTTCGAAGTGAAAAGTCTGAATTTGTAGGTGTTGAAAGATATTTCTGGATACAGGATGATTCAAGTAAAAGTGTAATGGCTGCATCAGCATCTGGTCCAAAGCTTTGACGATAGACCTCGAACTTTGGCTTTAAAAGCCATGTATCGTTCTCTTTTTTGTCATAATTCAGCCATCTTATGCCAAGACCGTTAGCTTTTGATGCATAAATCAATTTCTCCATTTCTGATGTAGAATTGACATACTGGAACTTGGAAGTTACGTTCAGCCTCGGTAGGGCAGTTTCAAGTCCTGTTGAATTGATTAAATCACGAACTTCTTGGACATCAGGTATAGCAACAAGAGTTGGCTGTCCCATAACTGCATTCAAAAATTTGGCAATTTCTATTTGAGGATTCGAATATGTGATGTTTGGTGTTTCTACGCCCTTGACTGTTGTCCTGGCTAGCTTCCAAACTGGGTAAAGAGCAATATAAATAACTAAGGCAATAATAAATTCAATGATAGACGCTTTATGTCTGAGTTTTATAAGCCATTGCTTTTTGAAGAGCTCATGGACGGTGCGGGAAAAAGTCGGGTTACGCTCATTCCAAGCGCCACCTGGTGGGACGACATAAACACTGCTAGCTCGTTCTTGAGTCATCAAAAAAAAGTTATTTGTTTCAAAAATTACTAATCGGCGATTTTGAGAGGGGGTTCGTTTCTCAAATCAATTGATTTTGTTAATTCAATATTTAAGATCATAATAAAGTTATTTCGTTTAAACATTATGATGTAAAAACTTCTCATTTTTACAAAAAGCAATTCAATTTATTTTGGATCATCGCCATCATATATGAAATCTATATAGTTAATTTGCACTATTCGAAATTAATACTTTATTTTTTCAAAAGATTGTGGTTATGCTAGTGTCACTTTTTAACCATTCAAAGTCAGTATCAAATTCAATCACTCCTCCCCAGATTATGGATAAAGATTTGGACATAGTGTTCAAATTGAAATATCAAGTTTAATTGTCATTTGCAATAAAAATTCTTCAATTGTTTTCTTAAAAACTCTTAAGAGACAGTAACAGTTATGTAAATCTATGTAACAATTGAAACAAAGTTAATAACGCTCTTAAATCAACCGATAACAGTATCAGATTATAGCATTCATTTTTTTATTATTGATCTTTTTGATTTAACTTATTTCCATCTTATTACAAAACAGATATACATTCTATAAAACATTATTTGTGGCTTTTTTTAAAGAATATATTTTCATTATCTTTATTAAACATAATATTTATAAACAAATAATGACACCGTTAATCTCTTTCGGAATTTTCAGAATCAGTGGTAACTTTTTCTAACTGTCTTCTTCTTCTCTCTTGCATTCTTTGAAGTGCTGAAACAGATTCTGATTTAGGAACAGGAGAAGGTCGTTCTTCAACAATATTCTCTGGCTCAGCTGGTTTTGCTCGATTTGTTTGACTTCTCTTAAGTGTTTTCGGTGGGGAATTATTTTTGGAGTTAGGTGAAGATTGCTGTTTCTTTTTACTTAGCTCATCTTCAATCATGGCAATTTCTCTCCTCTTTCTAACAATAATTACGATTGTCATGATTAATAATGCAATGCCTAAAACTGCAAAGAAAGTAACAGCAACGATTGCAATATATTTATCTAGGCTTTCTGATTTTGGAGCCGAAGCCGCAGTTGATCCTTCTTTTTGTTTATATTCTGGCAATGAAGAGTTAACTAAACTTCCTGGAGCGAAATCAGCCTCAATTCGAATTGGAAGCTCTGATCTCTCTGTAGCACTTGGATTAAAGAACCCAAAATATAGCCAGTGACCACGAAACTCTTGTTTCCTTGTCTGTTGAGCAGAAAGTGAAAATTGGAATTTAGCAGTTCTTGCCTCTTCAAGTTTAACATTATTCGAATCTGATATTGCAATTAATGGATTAACACCTATACCAAACATAATGAAACTGACGTTTGTCTTATCTGTAATTGCTAATCTCATCCAGTTTACATATCTAGAAGAGGCATTGTAAACATAATCTTTATTTGGTGGAGCTTCAGCGATATAAGTTTGGCAAGCTAGGCCACGTTTATCATACGGGCAACTACAGAATCCTGAATTGCATGTTCCAGAGTTGCAGTTTGAAGGGCAATTCTCTTCATCAGAGAATGTTAATGAAACAGGATTGGTATAATAGTCATCTTGCTTAAATCCGCCTGTGATTACTATCGCAAATTTTGCTACCGAAACAGATTGCATATAATTTTGCGAATAGACATGGATTTTGTAAGTATCAGGCGGAGCATTTGGAATAAAAACTCTATGATTGGTTGTAAATTCTTCTTCACGATCTTCTTCTAAACCATTTGCAAAATATGATTTACCTTTCGAATCCTCAACAATCAGATTCAAGCCGATATTCAATGGAATGTTTGAATTCTGAAGAGGAGGCTCGACATATGAAATCGTAATGGAAAGATCCTGTTTTGTATCTGTTTTGATTTTGGATGATATATGCTTTTTCTTTCCAATCGGAATGTTATCTGTAACCCTGATTCCTTTGTTTGATCCGAAACCTAAAGATTTTTCAGCATTCACAAGACCAAATCCAGATTTGTTGTCTACAATAGCGCCTGTTGTACTTGTGCATCCATTAATTATCATAGCTTTTACCAAATATCCAGAAGGATTCTTAGAATGTTGAATTTTTGGTGATAATGTCGGATAAAAGCCATCATAGAAGTAATCCTTGATAAGAGCTGCAAGACCAGCAACCATTGGAGCTGCCATTGATGTTCCTTCTTGCTTGACAAGGTTTTCTTCGTTGATTAATGGATGATAATCATGCTTACCAAGAGATTTAGCCGAAACAATGCTAGTTCCTGGAGCTATTACTTCTGGTTTAAGTATGCCTTCCTCAGTTGGTCCCCAAGAAGAAAAATCTGCAACTTGTAGTTCACGTGTTTTGGATGGTTCCATAATCACAGATAGTGTCGTCCATTTAGCTATCATATCAATTTGACTCTTTGTTTCTGTAATCAAAAATGGATATGGAGATTCATAATTTGGTTTTGCGAAGGAAACCATCATTCTAAACGTATGGCCTTGAATTAGTGGACACTCATTTTGTGTACATACATATGCTGTATCTCTGGAGGCTGAATCAGAAGAAACAGTTAAATCTGTTAAAACATACTGAGGACCAGAATATTTGCTCATGAATTTCTGTGGATCGAGCACTTTTATCTTGGTTTCTCCATTCGTAACATATATATCAGCAGTATCAGTGAAAGAACTCACTGTTGAATCAGCTAAAGCTCCCACTGTTATAAAGTTTTTAGAATTTCCTGGTGGGAAAACAGACATGGCTGATTTTCTATTTCCAGCTGATGCAATATAAACTGTATCTTGATTGTTGAACGCAATTTCATCAAATGAATTTCGTAAAAGGTTATTATTATCGAACCCCCAGCTTGAAGTTTGTATTTTTGATGTAGTATCTTTCATATTTTCCTGGAAAGTGTTGGGGTTTGGAGTGACAGTTATCTCATTTTTATCATTTCCAATATCGATCACATGTAATTTAGCTCCTTCTGCTACCCCACTATATAGTGACTGCATTGAGTCTGATTCTAATGCTTTTCCTGCAACAATTCCTGCTATATGAGTACCATGACCATTAATTGCATCGTGATTATCAAATAAGCTAAAGTATTTAACAACCTTTCTATGCTGTGAGTTCATTGAAGATGATACTTTATGATATGGATCATAAAAGAATGTATGGTTGACATCCAACACAGTATCAATAATAGTAACTACTTGCTTTTTGCCAGTTATACCCATTTTTGTTATTGTTCTATCTGTTTGATACATATTGTTAATTCTCTGAACCTTATCGATACCGTTTTGCAATAGACCAACAGAAAATCTGTTTTGTAATTGTATATTTTGGATTGGTTCTATCTTCAATACTCTTGGATCGTTGTATGCTTCAAGTACAAGTTCGTCTGAAATGTTATTACACTGATAAACAAAAGTATTAAAAAATTCGCAGTGATTTATTTGGGCCCATTCATTTATTGTATGAATATAATATGATTTTTTATCCGAATACTTTAATTTATACTTGATAATCTCATCTTTGTAAACCATCTCGATATCTTTTTATTTTTTTATTCGGAAATATTCTTCTTCTGTAACATAAACGAGCATGGTTTGATCTGATACATAGGAATGATGAGTAACTTTGTCTGATAGTAATCTTTCTAGACTTATAAAACTAGAATTCTGCTTACTTAGAAGATTACTTATAAAGAACCAGCCGAACGAATAATTTGGTTGTAGACTTTGGACTATTGGTCTTTGTCTTCTTTCATCTATTCTTAGCATGGCCCTTTTCAAATAAAATTTCCGAGATAAAATATTTCTTTCAATTTTATTTTCTTTGAAAATTAAATTTTCAATGCGACTCTCAAGAATTTTTCTTAGAATTATTTGATCATGAGCCAAATTTTATACATTGAGATGTATTACATCAAACAAGAATTTTTTGTTTTGGAACTTTTCTATACCGATTTTATAGGTTTCGAAGGTTAAACTATGGTCCAAAATGACTTCGAAGATATAGTTCATGGATATAAAAAGCATTCGATCATGAAATAATCCAATACTGATCGTTAAAATTGCAAATGATTTGAAAAATTTGGTAAACCCAAGGAGCTAAATCGGAAAAAGCAAATGAGTACTAAATGGCATGGTAAGTTGTTTATTTTATCTATTATAATTCTATAAAAATACAAAAAAAAATTAATTAATATTTTTCGGACTTCTTGATGGAACAAACCCATATCTCTTTTTGGCGATTTTATTGAACTGTTGTAAAATCAATAACTGACTGACGCCAAACGAATCACTTAAATATCTTAATATCAATCTCTTGTCATTGGAGAGATCTTCGAGTGTCATGTCTTCGAATGGGATCTCACATTCTTCTCCAAGTCCTTCTTTTTCGTTTACAATTATTGGATAAATCTCTGTTTGAAGAGATTCGGCGTTTTCCAAGCGTTTCATGAGATCTGCGTGTAGAACTGGAACATCTGTACTAACAGTAGGAAATGCAGGTATAACTCTGTCATTTTGGAGAATATATTTTGAAATCTCCGAAAAACTTGGAAATCCTGTGTGCTTGAACGTAGGATGCATCCAGTTAGTTCCATCAAGTCTGTAGATAAGGCAAAGTGCATAAAAAGCAAGCGCCAAAGGAGCTGCATAAGCTGTTCTAATAAATGTCGTAATTTTGAACCATTTTTGCTCAACTGAGACGCGACCAAACGCGAAGTTCATTTCTGGTATCGTTACAATTCTTTTTGATTTAGAAAGAGCAGTACAAAACTCTATAAATGATTCTTCTGGTAATCTTAAAAAAGAAGCTATCCTCCATAGTGTCAAGTTAATATTTGGAAGAGGGAGTAATTTTTCTTTGACGTAATGTGATAATTCTACAGTAAAATATTGTAGATTAATAATTTTTGGATTTAAAACCTTTTGCTCTGCAGTAGACAATCTCTGGACAAACGAATTTGGTAAATAATCTAATGGATAACGATATGGTATCTTTCCTGTTGTAATCCAATGAATCATATCGAAATGAGTAACTGGTATGCCTTTACTAAGTATGCCACTAAGAACAATTAGTGGTATTTTTGGAAATGTCGTGTCTGAAACAGGATATCTAAGTAATCCTGGATAAGCATTTAATACGTTGTAAACTTCAGCTGAAATACTTATACCCAAAAGCTTTTCGACATAAACTACTTCAGTTGCTAGCATTAATTGCAAAGCTTCAGCAATGACAACTTTGTTAATTCTTTGTTCATCAACTTGAGAAGCTTGAGAAATACGAAAAGATCTTGTTGTACTATCTGCCTGTGTTCCAACCATATCAACATCTTCATAAGTTTCGTGAATGTCAGCAATAAAATTACAATGGTTACAAATGTATGTACCATCTTCACGTTTTGTAACTTTATATCGCTGACAGTTAGGACATTGAAATGCCTTCTCTGATTCACCTACAGATGTCCTGTATTCTTGGCTGTATGTGTTGGTCCTAGAATACCCAAAAGACATCTAAATTTTTTTTCGCCATATTTTGAGAATATTTTTGGATATCCGTTTTATGATTTAATGTTTTATACCAAAGAGATTCCCAAAATTTAACAAAAAAAAAGTCAATTATTAATTGGAAATCAGTAGTAGATGAGTGCGGGTTTAGTGACTTTTTTTGTTACATCTATATATAGACGATGCATTAAAATATATTTATTTATAAACCATTAAAAAATTAACATTAATTTTAAAATAATTTATTTTTTTATCTTTTATAAAAGAAGCTATATATAGATGATGTCAGATATTCCGCGATTAATTAAACATTGTTTAAATCCTGAATGGGTTAAACTTCAATTTAAAAATGAAGATTGTGAATTATTAAATGAATATGAAAGCCAAAATAAGCTAATGAGGTATAAATATAATGATAAAGAATATTTAATTTCATGGAATCAATGGAGTCATAATCAAAGACCTCATAAACGAGAAGAAGAAATTGAAAATAATGAAATGGAAATCATTGATGACATTAAAGAGGATGGAATTCCTAAATTTTGTAGAAAAACCTTTAGAACTAAGTTAGGAGCATATAAACGTAGAGTATTAAATCCTGAATATCTTAAACATTTATTTAAAAAGGAAGACTGTGAATTATTAAACGTTAATGATATGAAAATGCAAAATCAAAACTGAGATATAAATATATTGGAAGTGATGAAAGGTGTAAAGATAAAGATAAAGTTTATTCAGTTTCATATAATAACTGGCACACGTTGGGGATAAGAAAACATTTAGGAGATTATGGTAAATGTTCTGAATTCTTCAAATCTAGTATGTATGAGAGAGTAAAAGAAATCAGATATAATTATCATTCATGAATGAAAAATAAACTACCATAATGAAATAAAAAAAATAAAAAAAATAAACTTTAAAAATTCATGTCTTATATTTTTTGAATAATTTATTTTTTTAATTCGTAAGAAAATGAGTGTCAAGACTAACGACGTTAAAAAATTGGGATTCACAAACGAGGAAATAAAGGATATATTAGAGGAGACGAGTTATGAAGTTAATAAATATTATTTAAGAAATTGTCAAAAATTCGCGGAGTTATTAAATGATTTAGATTATGATGGAAAAATGAATAAAGATGATGTTATAAATTTCTTATATCCCACATCTGAAGAAGAAAAACCTAAAGAACCTGATGTTTTCCCTGAATATTATGAAGAACGGATTAAAGATGATGAATATGATGAAATTGAAAGACTGGAAAAAATAAGAGATGAAATAGATGAAAAAATTAAGGAATTAAGAGAAGTTGAAAAATATAATGAGAATGAAGTAGAGGGTTTAATGAATATCCCAGCTTCAGAATCAGAAGTTCAAAAATCTCATGAAGAAAGATATAAAAATTACTTTTTGGAATCTACTAAAAATTTATTAGATGGTGAAATAGATGAAACACTTTCAGAAGAAGGCACAAAATTTATTCATAAACATAAGTTACAATTTATTGACGATGGAGATTATCCATGTATATTACTTTCACCTCCTCTTGATTCTGAAAAATTCAAAAAAGCACTGAAAAATGTAACATATGCAACAAATACGATTAAGAAAGAAGACCATGATATTTACACAAATTATTATTTAAATAAATGTACAGGTGTTGATAAAGTTTTTGATTTGTTAGATAAAATATCAAAAGAAACAATTGGTACATATAAAATTTTATGCGATTGTGGTTTCATTATTGAAGATACTAATAATGTTTCATATGAAAGAACAGCACCGAAGGAAGACGAAGTTGAAAGGTCTATACCATTCGTTATTAAGAATATAAAAGATATGAAAACTTATAAACATTATATTTATTCATTTATTTCAGAAAAAATGGAAGCAACCCATAAAACATCATCTCATCATTTTATAGCTATTCATACATTCCTTTTCAAAGTTGTGAAATTAAATAAGACAGGAATTAGATTTAATGTATCAGGGTACGCATTCTTGAGTAAATTAAAATGTATTCGTCACGTCGCAGATGATAAAAATTTATGTGTTCTTAATTCATTTTATGGACTTTAGCCCTGGACTTTAAAAAAATAAACTTTATTTTTATTTATTTTTTAATTTTTTATTCTTACATAAATGAACAAAAACGGAACAGCTAAAATGAATGATAATCAAATAAGAGCCGAAGGTAGAAGGTTATTTAAACGCTTCTATAACATTCCTGATGGTGTTAATCCTAAAACTCGTAGAAGTTATTTAAATGAAGCCATAGATGCATATGAAGGATTTGACATTTCATCAGAAAGTGAGAGGTTAGCAAGAATGTTAAACGTTAATATTGATTTTTATTATTGTGACCTCAACCAGAAGACGTAGACATAAATAAGGTAGACTTTCCATTAGTGGAATCAATAATGATAGATCCAGAATTTGAAACAGTAAATATTTTATTAACACAGAGTCCATGTGGAAAACTTCACGCTGACAGAATACAGACGTTGAAGCACTCACAGGATATAAAGTTTGCCATTTTGCAAAGAAGAAGTTATTCTATCCGTGATGACCAGAAAGGAAAAACCAAAGAAGATTTTTAAAGCATTGTGAGAAATGTAAAGAAAATAATGGAAGATTAATTCAAGACGTTCAATTGCAAAACACACAACCATATGCACCACATATCACGAAACAGAAGATATATCAATGGCTATTAGCTCACAATTTGCAGGAATATTATAAACCAACAAGATATTATATTACTTTTGACTTCGAAACATTAGAGACTAAAGAAGAACTTCAACTTTCTGAATGTGCAACTTTGAACGCTTACTTAAAACCATTTATGGTATCATCAACTGTCAAATAAAGCCGCAAACGGACCGAAGCGCGAAGGTCGTAGACCACGATAAAACATTTACGAGGAATTTTTGCTTAACATCAAGTGATTCGTTCATCTCTGATTGGATTGAATTTTTATTTTCAACCTGTTCATTAGTTGCTAAATCAAATATTGAACAATATGAAGAATTAATGAAGCCGCAAACGGACCAAACGGCGGGGACTTTGTCCCATACATTAAATGAAAAACAGAAGGAAGCATTTAAAGAACTTCTAGATGAGGAATTCAATAAAGTGAATATCATAGGTTTTAATTCGGGAAAGTTTGATTTAAATTTAATTCTTCGTGATTTAAACACTGCAAAATGGAAAATAAAATCAATGCTGGGTTCTTCTTCTCAATTTAAGCAAATCATTGTAAAGAAAACAAACTGTCCATATGAATTAAGATTTATTGACATCAGAAATTATATAGCGGGTGGAACATTAGACCAATTCACTCAAGATTTCGGAAACAATAAATCACGTGTTAAATCCTTTTTCCCTTATCAATTCATCACATGGGAAATTACGAAGATGAATTATATAAAGTGGAACCATTCACTCAAGATTCATTTTATTCAGCATTAACTCAAGAAACAATATCCGATTCAGATTATCAAATATATCTCAATGATGCTAAAAATTTTGAGAATAGATTAGAATATTTTATTCATTATTGCAATAAAGACGTTGAAATTATGATTGACCCAATTGATAAAATTATTGAAGAAACATTTGTTTATAAAATTGACATGCTTCATAATCTTTCTTTATCATCGAATGCATCAATGATTCGTTACGCGTTAGCATATAAGAACTTCAATCCTAACGAAACATATCCAGAAGAAGAAAATGTGGAATCAAGTTTTGAATTAACAAAAAAGTATTGGAAATATAAAATTGATTCATATAAGAAACAAGATGAAAAAGCAGAAAGGGATACTAAAAACAATGTTTCAATGGATGACTATCAATACTATCACGATTTAATCCTTTCATCTAAATGCAAAATGTGTGGTAAAGCGTTTACATATGCTAATAAACCAACATTAGATAGAATCGATAATGAAAAACCACATACCAAAGAAAATTGTCAGTTAATGTGTTGTTATTGCAATGTCGTAAAATCAAATAAAGATGAAGATGTTCAACGTTTAAGAATCAATTTAAGAAATTATACATTAAAAAATAATTTACCAATGACTCTAGATTCAGTTGAAGCTTATCACATCCTCCGTAATGGAATTACTGGTGGTTTATCAAATGTTCAACATAGAGTAAATCTTAAAGGAATCACGCACATTAATAAACTTTCATATAATCCAGAAACTAAAACTGTATCAAATGAGGACACTTCCAACATTATGACTCATTTCGTTGGTGTTGACTTTAATTCATTATATCCTTCATCATTTTCATCTAATCCTCATGATTTCATTCAATATACTGACCATAAAATGTATATGCCGGGAAGATTGAATGGTGTTATCATTTGTGATACAGCAACAAAGAAAGCAAAAGCACTGGGAATAATTAAGAAGAAAAATACTTTATTCGTGGCTGAAGTAAAGGGTCACATTGATGAAAAATACATTAATGATTACATAAACTTTTTACCAATAAGAAACTTAGATATTATCACAGATGAAAAAACAATTGGCAGTTTTATGTATAATTACATGAAATCAAACAATCTACCAGTTGACCAGAAACAGAGAAATTAACTCAGTTAGCATCAACACACAACCAATATCAACCATTTTCTTCTTATTATCTTTGGTATCTAATAGACAGATTTCATTTTATCATTGATGACATTTCAATCAATTTTAACATTTACGAAAAACACTTGTTTTAATGAATTTGCGAACGAATTTATGAACGAAAGACAAAAGGCTGAATTAGAAGGAAATAAAGAAAAAAGTTTATTTTGCAAGATTTCACTTAATGGATCATATGGTTACGATGCAATGAATACACAAAATTACGCAAAGACTAAAATAATGAATGCACAGAAGGCACGCGTTGCATGTATGTCAAATAAGTTTAAAAACATAAGAGAAATAGGTGAAGATACGTATCAAGTGATGCTTAAAGATAGATTTTATAGATGTGATACATGTTTACAAGAGGCATTCTTCACTTTAGATAACGCAAAATACTGGTATTTGGTTTTCATTTATGATTTTATGTATAAATGCATGGATGTTAATCGTTTTCATTTCATTGAAGGTGATACTGATTCATCTTATTGGGCAATCGCTGGCGACCCAAATCTTCCTAACACTCAAGCATTTCAAGCAATTGTAACCGATAAAAAATTTTATGATAAAAACATTTACAAATTCGCACCTTTTGATTTCTTTGTTTTAATGAGAAATTTAAACCTAAATTAAAGAATAAAGCTGAAGAAAAAGCACATGAGAAGAAGTTATTGGGTTTAGCAATTGAGAAACAAGGTGATAACATGGTTGCTTTATGTCCTAAGTGTTATACTTCATTCAACGGTTCAATTGATGGAAGTGATTTTAAAAAGATTGCACAAAAAATGAAAGGAGTTAGTTTACGACAAAATAAACAATTAACACCTAAAAATTATTTGGATATAATAAATGATAAAGTGATATTTGATGGTCAGAATATTAATTTACAACTTAAAAACGGGTCAATGACTCGCTTAACAATCGGTAAGACTGCATTAACAGGAGCACACACTAAGGCTGTATGTTGTGAAAATGGATGTTGTATGCCATTTATTTAATACAATTTGAAATTTTATTTTTAATGAAATGCCACAGAAGAGACAAAAGGAACTAAATCGATTTATACCAAATGGTTTTAACTTTCAGATTCCAAATAATCAACCACAACGAATTTTTCAAATCCCACCACAGCATCAACGGAGAAGAACATTCACCCCTGAAGAAAGAAATTTCAATAATTTGATGCGTCAACAAAATCAAGTTTTGAGATTTTATCCAGGTAGTAATGGTATACATATAAGGCATCCAAATTTAGATAGAAATATACCGCTGAGATCATATTTTACCTAATAATACGGTTAATTTTGCTGGATTTTATGATCATCATCAGGAAATCTGGACTCCACCATTTGATACTGTTTTAGAAGGAGGAACCGTTAATGATGCGATTCAATATGTAAATAATGGCTTTGATACTATGATTCAAAGAGGTGGACACCCTTAAAACATTTATTTTATTTTATTTTTATATAAATGGATAACGAGGATTTGGATAGCGAGGATTTGATGGATAACGCGGATTTGGAAAATTTAATTGATGATTTAGTACTTAATCAATATTTTCCTAATTATTATGAATTAAAAGCATATCTCCAAAAATATAATAAAAATATAACGGGTGATGATATGAAATATTATTATCCATATTATAAAAATGAAATTTTGAAATATCATGATAAAATAATTTCTAAAATTAAAGACAAAATTAAAAATAATGAATATTCAAAGGGAAAAAGTAAATCACAACTTAAACAGTTGAAAGATTTCAAAAATAAAGTATTAACAGAAGAAGATATTGATGAATTATATAAATTATATAATCCTGAGCAGCAAAAGCCAAAAGAGAAAAAGCCAAAGAAGAAAAAGCCGAAAACAACACCAAAAGAGAAAAAGCCGAAAACAACACCAAAAGAGAAAGTAGCAAATGTTCAACAGCTAAAGGTGCAAAACGCCCAGGTCCTTCAGACCATAAATGATGCACAAGCTTTAATTTATGATTCATTAGTTAAACCATATTCAGCCCGACTTTTAAATGAAGATCAACTTTTGGAATTCATCCTTCAACATAAACTCGAAGCGGGAAAGTATATCAAATCTTTATATACAGCATATTTAAAACAAATGAATAGAATACATCCAGAATTAATGAAGGAAGGAAGGAATTCCAAAACTTCATCATCCAAAATCAAAGCAGATAAAATTAAACCACTTGCAACACCAAACCCTCCAACGACAGTACCTCCTCCTCCTTCAGTTAATCCTTCATCATTCACTTTATTATATCCATTTCAAACATTAAAGAAGCAAAAAGATTTTAAAAAGGATTTCAAGATATTAAATAAACCAATTGACCCAAAAATTCAACCGTTAAAGGAAAAATTTAGTCGCCCTTCATTTGCACCATATCCATATTCATACGAAATCGATCATCTGGAATATTCAAGAGGAAACGTTACTTATTTATTTGCCATTAACATTAACACTAGATATTTATATTGCATTCCGGTGAAAGGGAAAACAAAACAGGAAACAAGAAGAGCTATTCAATACTTACTAGATCATGAAAGAGTAGATAATATAAGGGGTGATGGTGATAAAGGATTTCAGGCAGCTATGGCTCATTATTTCCCACAAATTAATTTTTACTTTTCATCCTCTCCATATACGTTTCATAATAAAATAGTTGATGTGGTAATGAGAACTCTTAGAGATGCGTTAGGGGTTAATGGTCAGATATACTGGGATGGAAATCATGACTCCATCATACAGCAGTTAGTATATTATTACAATAATACATGGCATAGAACAATAAACATGAAACCGGTGGAAATGAAAAATGATATTTCAAAAGAATGGGAATATATTAGAAAGCAAATGGAAAGGTTGAATGATGTTAAACGTGAACAAATTAATTCGGGGCTCATGAATTTTAAACAAGGGGATAAAGTTTTGATTCATCTCGATTATGGAAAAACTGATAAATCAATGACAAAAAGAAGACGAAGATTTGACACAATAGCTGAATTTGTTAGATATATTAACGGCAATGCATTAGTGAAGTTAACAATAAATTAATAGAAATTCCGATTTATTTATTACTCCATTATATTTAAATAATATTTAATTTTTATTTCGTAAGAAATGAGTGACAACGAAGCATCCAAGAGTCCAGACAATGAATATAAAAAGAAACTAAACAGAATTAAATCAAAAATATGCTATTACAAAAAGAAGCCGCAATGCGGTGGGGTTGAAAACGATAAAGAGAGGAAAGAAATAATCGAAAAATTAGAAACTTACCGTTCAATCCTTAAACTGAGTGAAGCAAAAATAAAAGAATTTAATAGAATATATAAATTGATTGAAGAGATGAATTTAATAAAGATGAATTTTTAAACTCAATCCAAATTTAATTTTTATTCTCTTCGACAACATCTCTCTTTCCATCATTACTGCATAAACCACATTTTCTCATTTAGTGGTTTGTTATTTTTAACATGTTCTTGCATCATTTTTATCATTTCCTCCCTTGTTATGATTCGTGGTAAATTTTGAGCTTGTGGGGTATTCATTTATGATAAAAATAAAAATTTGTTATCACTTATTTTATCGTTAAGTGACTCAAAGAGTCCGGAGACAAAGTCTCATGTTTTTAGGTTATTCAATAATTAATTATTTTTGAATAACTGGGAAATAAATTTACGTCAAATATGCAATTTATAAAATCTTATGTCGACAGGCTACGTAGCACAGTGGTCTAAGGTGGTGTTATGGAGGGGTCAAGGTCTGTGGTTCGAACCGCGACAGCACCGTATTTTCTCATTTTCTCATTTTTCATTCTGTTTTGGTTTCAGCAACTTTTCAAGTTGTTGTCTTGTCAGTAACTTTAATTTTAACTTTGGATCAAATATTGGGTTTCCATCTTTATCTCTTCCAATAACACCATATGGTAGAATCTTCATTTATACTAAAATAAAAATTTAAATTATGTCGTTTGCTCTTTTGAGCTCCTAAAGTTTGTTTCACAACATTGAGCGTTCATTGAACTCTATACCATGCGAATACAGTCATAAATGGTGGCATGTATTCTTTACTTTGTCCGTTGTTTGTGTATATCCTGAAACGCGATGTGTATGGTTTCCTTCTCCCTGAGTGTCACTCCAGTAACAATTTATGGCAAATTTCATCATCTTTAAATCATATCCTTTACCTTTGTCATTCCTGACCAATCCCAATATCTATGCTTATGCCAACCCGCTTGAGATGTGCTTAAATCAATGTAGTGACTGTGGCAGGTAAATTTTCACCTGTAATCGTTTTACTTCCCCCTGTTTCCTTTGAAGAGTTTGGCACAATAAAAAAACCTGTCGACTATTTGTTCCCATGCACCAACACCAAACATTACTTGAGGACCTCTTGCATCCATAGATGTATAAATAGAACCTACTGGGTTCATTAAATCAAACATATGAGATATTATAGGATTGTCTCTTTTGAACTTAAAATATAGTGTAACTATTTCGGGTTTCTTCTGGTTTGTGTCAGAATATTTTTTATAATATAATCTTATGTTTCAGGGTAATGTAAAATCTTGACTATAATATTTATTTTTGTCATCTTCATAATAGTATACTATTCTCGTTTTTTCTATTGCATTATATCTTTTATATCTATAATAATCTAAATATAATGTTTGCTTTTTGGGTCTACACGTGCGTCAACACCATAGTCATAATAATACGGTGCTGGAGCTACGTTAGACAATGTCATATCCGTCATTTCATAAACTCTTAAATATTTCTTTGTTCGTCTCCATATAAGTTTAAGTAGCAGTTGTTGTCTAATGGAACTTTAACTTGTGTGCCATTATTCTTTATATAGCCTACATACATTTCATTGTTATTTTTCGGAATGAGTTTATACCGTACCATTTCTTAAGGACTGTACAAACTCCCATCTAAAATATTTGTTTTCTTCATTGACAGAAAAGTCGCCAGCAATAGTTTCAATATTTTTTGTTCCAACTAAACTTTGGTATATTTCGTTAACAAATGATATATCTGCTTTCTTTGCTAACTCATCGTTAACATATTCCTTATCTGCCTTCTTGCTAACTCATGTGTAACATATTCCTTATCTGCCTTCTTTGCTAACTCATCGTTAACATATTCCTTATCTGCTTTCTTCCCTAACTCATTGTTAACATAAGTTTTATCTGCTTTAAGGTCTAAACATTCTGAAACCCATCCTGTATCAGCTTTAGTTTTAAGAATCTTCGATGTCCGTTCATGATACCATTCAACCCTTTCTATAATTTCATTATCTTTTTCATTAACATATTCCTTATCTGCCTTCTTTGCTAATTCACTAGCCACAAGTCCCTTATCTGCTTTCTTTGCTAACTCATCGTTAACATATTCCTTATCTGCTTTCTTCATTATGTCATTTAGGAAACCTTTTATGAATTCCTCATTTAAATTAAATCTTCCAATCTTCAAAACTTTAGGAAATGCATTTAATGCGTAATATCTTTGTTCTTCTGGTGGAATTGATGTTATATCATCCGTTATTCCTTTAATTTTTGAATTCATAAATAAAATTTCTTTTATATTTGATATCACTGCACCACCTTTGCAAACGAATTCGAAATGGTCATTTTTCAATACTATCTCCAAATCTCCATATTTCAACATTTGCGTTTGTTCTGCCGTCTTTGAATTATATGCATATATGGCGTATGTAATGGTCTGTGGTTGCTGTTGTTTAATCATTTATTACGATTTAAAAATAAATATTTAATCTGTTATCTCATCAGCTATTTTTTCTATTTGAAATTGCCATAATATTTCATTCATAAATTCTAAATCACAATCAAATAGGTCAGTTATTCTAAATTTAATATTTGATAAATCTTTTGAATGAAGAATAAATGAATTCCCGGATAATTGAAACGGATATGATAAAGAAAATATGTTTAAGTTGATGGATAAAATGTTTTGTATTGATGGGTAAGAGTTAGGGTCTAATGTTTGATGTGAAAATCTCATTGGGGTATTAACTTTATCACATTTGATTAAAATGAAATTAGAACCAGTGTCAGAATACAAAACATCCCCAACATCTTTTTCAAAATTTAATATCCCCAACAATGAACGAAGACGAGGAGTACAAAATTTAATTTTCAGCGGAAATTTAATAAGGTTATTTATTTCATCAAGTTCAAAAAGTTTATCAGGTTTTGATTTAAAATTTTCTTCATACCATACGATAAATGATTCATTTAAATAACTTAAAATCATGTTAATATCCCATTTCGTTATCACATTATTTATATACATATCATACGTTTTTAGGTCTACGACCCGCCGCTATGCGGCTCATGGTCATCTTTAATAAATGATATATAATCTGAAGGGTCTAAAAGAATGGGATTAAATTTACCACTCACAGAAACGAGAGTAACATTATAAATTCCACTAACTGTTAAATTTAATTCACAGTTATTATTCGAAATAATATTGATAATTGACATTTTTTTATTACGATTAAAAATATGGTAAAGCGTTATTTTCCAGTGATAAATAAAACTAGAATAAGATTACCTCAAGAATTCATAAATTCAACGAATAAGAAATTCATTCATGTTATAAATTTTAGTGTTTTCAGAAAATATGAGTCAATGTCATATTCATCATCAGGTTATATTTCACTTCATTCAAATTTAGTTCAATCAAACCCATATAATGACCATTTCATAAGATTTTCAGATGGTATTAAAAATGTAATTGATAGATTAAAATATGAACAGATTGACAATATCGAATTTTTGGAATTTTGGTTTAAATATCCCGATGGAAAAAAGATTGAAGTTAAAGATAAAGCTGATACTATAACAAAAACAATTACAATGACCGATCCGGATAGTGGGGAACAAAAAGAAATAAAACAAACGATAGAAACTGGTGAAAGGTCAATTATTATCGATTATGATTCAAAGGATTATTATTCGATAATGTTAATGCTTGAATATTAAATAGCCTTAACAAAGAATTTTTCAAGTGATATTTTATATTCATCAACTATTTTATTATAAATATCATTATAAGTTAAATGTAGTTCAGTTGTTGTTCCGTTCTTTGTTATCTTAATTGTGCTAATATCCTTTATAGGATTTATTTTTGCAACTGTTCCGCAGCATGAAACCTCATCATCTATGAAAAATTGAATCTTAACGTCTGAATCTTGAACATCACAAAGAATGGCGATAATGTGAATTAATGATTCATAAGGTAAAATAATTAAACCAGATTGGTCAATTAAATTTATTATTGAATCATAATTATCAGTTATTATATCACGGTAAATTTTCATTAATTCAGAATTAATGTCTATTTTATATGGCGCATTGCGACTGTAATCGTAGATTCCTGGGTTCTCGATGTTTGATGAAAGAGGTGGGGGTATGTTGGATAAGTGGGAATTTCAACAGGTTCTTTACCAGGTTCAGATAAAATGATTGGGTCTCCATTCTCATGGTTTTCTTCATTCTCCTCATTCTTCGGTAAGTCACGAGTTAATAAATTTGGTTGAGTTGCTGACCTTGTTAATTCAGGGCTAACATTAACTTTAACATTTTGAATAATTCGTGATTTATCATCATTTACGTTATAACCAACCGTAATCTCTGCTTTTGCGTTAGTCTTCTTTTGACTAGTGAAACGTCTTCTCATTTATAATTGAATAAAAAAGAAAAATATATTTAAAGTTTTATTTAGTTGTTACGGTAATATCCCAAGGTTCATCATTGTTTGCTTATACTTTCTTTGTAACTGCACCAATTATGTTATTGATATTGCTTTGAGTTTCTTCCAGTCTTATTTTATCATTTACAATATCTTTAATCATTTCATTACATGCATTCTTAAAACCATCTGATTTTTCTAATTTACGTCTATCACTTTCTTTAATTAAATCATAAGTTAAACCTCGTTGAGAATAAAGTGGTTTCTTTATCAATTCCTTGAACGCTTCTGAAAGTGAAGATGAAGAAATTCTTGCCACTTGAATTGGTTTAAATTCTGCTTTCATTGCTTCTTTCTGTTCATTGATTGAACACTGGATCGAATAAAGCAACTTTAAAGAATTTCTTAGCTGGAATTTCAGGTCTCAAATTTGCATATTGACCATCAAACTGATTAACATATTGTGGTAATCCATCCGGTCCCTCTTCAATAGCATTTAATTCTTCATTGAAGTAAGAATATGGATTATGACGGTATGAATTAATTGGACCATTTTCACCTTCTCCAATGTATTGTTTAACAGCTTTTCCATTTTCATCAAATTGCATAGGATAATGTTCATTATATGCTTTACGTTTAGGATAATCAGATATAGTTAATTTATAACCATTTATGACTTTAATATTTCCTTGACCATCAGTAACGAAAACTTCATTTATTCCATCAGGTTTTCCATTTGGACCCGTAATGTCTGCTTCATGTGCTTCCCAATTTGGTCCGTGACGTTTGGCATATGCTTGAGCTTCTGGTAATGTTAAAACGTTTCTCATTTGTTTAACATCCTTTTGAAGACCAGCAACAATATGGACTAATTCTTTCATTCCGTCTGGAACTTTCATAGTTCTATTATATGCACCCTTTTTGTTTGTTCCTTGTTTTAATGGAACTTGTAGAAGATTTGCTATTTCTGTCATGTTTAATTATAAATAAAAAATAAAAATTAATTATAAAAAGTTATTCGAATTTAATGGAACCTTTATTTAAATCAACTATTATTTTTCCATGTTCACCTAATTGTTGATATTGTGTGTAAAGTTCATTAATGCTCATTGGTAAATTCACTTGATAAAGCATAACGTTCAACTGTTGACGACTAAACCCACTGAAAATGAAAAGGGTGGACAGGTTTGATTTAATGTTTGTGCTTAATGCTTTAAAGTATTGAACAGCCATGAAGAATGAACACTGAATGTGTCGACATTGAGTTAATAATTGATTAAAATATGATTTCTCATTTGTTATTAGTTTTGATTTCACTGCATCATCTAGAAAAATGAGTGAATGCAAAAATTCTCTATCAAAATTTGAAATAGAAAGTGTTTCAAATAATTCATCCCGTTGTTTATCAATAATTTTATCCTCTAATCCTTGCTTCTTGATTGTATTATATAACTCTTTATACATTACAAAGTTTTTTAAATAATCTTCCGCTTCTTCTTGTGATAAATAAATAATTGGAATTTTGATTAAATGCTTTAAAGATTCAAATGTATCATCTGAAGGTGAACCTGAACGGTTGATATAAATTAACACATGTGAATAGGGTGAAGTGTTAGCAATAATGATAATTTGTTTTAATATCGTTAATGTTTTACCTTTATTTTGTTTACCAATTGCTGCAGTGATTGAATTTAAGTAACATTCAGAATATGGAATTTTCATTAATTTTTCCTTAGATAGAGCATTTCTATTATCACTCAATGCTTCATTAATCATATCATCTACGTATGTATTATATACTCCTGCTAATTCTTCATAAGGGGTGGATGAATTTAAATCCATTTAATCAAAAATAAATTTATAATTTTATACATTTCTATTCATCAATATTTCATCATATGAACTTCTATACTGTGGTGGTGTACCTGTTGGATGATATTTCAAACCTTCATCCGGTGTCCATGTCCAATATGTAGTCCTAGTAAACCAAACCTGAGGAGGATTTGTCACTTTTGAACAGTAAGTGTCATTTACACCCTGAATGATTGGATAAGCTTTCACTTGTACTGTAACTTGTGAGTTGAAAGTTTCTAATCCATCAAAGAATATACCCGCTCCATCACGTTGAACTGGAATAGTGCATAAGAATGAAGTTTGGTCTTTCCATGTTCTAGCTAATGGCGCGCCATCATCATCATTCAGTGGTCTAGTTAATGAGTCCTCGTATTCTTCTGTGCATTCATTCACTCCATCTAAATCAGAAGCTTGAAGCATACGTGTAAAGAATATGTCGCCCACTGTGGTCATCGCTTGATCGGGGAAGTTTCTGGAATCTATAGTGACCTGAAGACCTCGAAGCATTGGATTTTCTAAAACCGTTCTTTGCATTGCATTCTTCGGAAATGTTAACACAACATCTGTAACATTATGAAGAGCGTATGAGAAATCTGAGCTAATACCTTCAGGAGTGATGCAACCTCCATTTAGTGAACGAACGTCAATATGTTGAGCTGGAATCATGAATGGATCTTCCTTACTGAATAAACGTGGTATTGCTTTAACTGATTCTTCAATTAAACCGTATCCTGGTGTAATGCATTTATCCTCTAAAACTTCCATCTTTGTGCATGAAATAATAACGTCATCAACTGTTGCGTCAGCAGATGTAGCGGCTAAGCCTGTAATTAATTTGGCAGGAAGTCCGATTTGTTGGAATTTGCGATCATATTTATAAACATGATTCATAATCTTTTCATAATTTTCATCAGTTATCTTTTCATAAACATAATTTTGTAAATCAGCAACTCTTAACGGGTCAACCTGACAAAATACTAAAGTATCCCTGAAAACATAATATTTAAGAATGATTTCACCAAATGATTTAGGATAATCATCGAACGCCTGAAATGCTAACAAATCATTTACCGGAATAATCATATCAAAAGTGACATCAACTTCTTCATTTGCTTTCTTGAAAACTTCTGAAGGGTCAATATATTTACCACATACTGAGTTATCATATTTTTGAACATTATTATATAAGAATGAACAAACTTTTTAACTTTCCTTTCTGATTTTGGTTTATATGTTGCAAATGCGAACGATTCACGGGCGCAATCCATCTGAAGATAACCGGCATCACCTCTTTCGGTTTCTACTTCTAATTGTTTAAAGCTTTGATTTGATGATTTATAACCAACGAATAAACGCATGCATTTAAAAGCGGCATCACATGTGAAAGCTTTATTTGAAACTAGAGTTGCTTTAACTTTGCGTTTAATATATGTGTCACCTAATTGGTTCACATCATGAGCTGGATTTGTAATTCTTAAATGAGTTTGTTTATCATCAAAATATGGAGCATCAGAGTCATAGCATGAACTTTCAAGTTCTCTATAATATCTTCTACCATCATTCTTTGCGAATATTTCATTTATCTTTTCGAATGAATGAAACACATTTCCATTAATCGGTTTAGTGTTTGGCACCAAATAGTTAGTCGTCATTTATTATTAAATAAAAAAATCAAAATTGAAAGATAAAAATGAATTTTTAATTTTAATGAAATAATCAACTATGGCTGCAGGATTCTTTAAGAAACTGTGGGATAAAGTAAAAAGAGGAGCGCATAAAGTTTGGGAAACAATGAAGAAAGGAGCAAATTGGATATTTAAGAATAAAGAAGCAATTAGCGACGTTGCTGAACAAATAGCACCTAATGTTCCGGTAAGGGAAGTATTAAATAAAGGAGATAAGGTTTATCGTCGACTACAACCGATATTGAGATAAAAATAATATTTATTTATTTTTCCACTATTTACCCCCTATTTTATTAAGTATTCCTTCAGCAATTCCACCAATTGCGTTACCTGCTTGTGCTCCCATCGCCGGATTACCTGCTTTAGTACCTAATACTCCTCCTATGATAGTTCCTGCCGTTTTCGCTACTGGTGCCAAAAAGTTTGCAACAGGTTTAATAACCTTTTTATAAACCCAACCTGCAGCTTTCTTAATTCCATCCCATAATTTTTTAAAGAATCCTGCCGCCATTTCTGATTTAATATTAATTAAAAAATATATTTCATCACTTATATTCTAATTTTTATTTAATGATAAATGAAACCGATTTTAAAAATAAATGAAACAAAGGAGGAAGAAATAAATGAAAGTGAAAATGTTCAACAAAAATAAACGTTGTTAAACCAATTACTGAAATAAAAATTTTTTCATCTGTTGAAGAATTTAATGACTATTATGCTAATAATAAAAAATTATTTGAAGAATTGACAACATGTAAATTGAATAAAATGTTTAAAGTTGAGGACAGAGTCCAAGACCCAGAGGGTCATGGATTCAAAATTTCAAAAATAAAAGGTGTTGTTAGTTTAAAATCTATTCCTCAATCAAGAATCACCTCATTAATGAAAATAGATGATTTAACAAAAAGAATAGAAATTATTGAAGAGCGAATGAATCAAATAATTGATTTCATAAATCATGACTCGTTGAGCCCGGGTCCTTAAAGCCCAAGGCACAAAGTGCCCAGGACTTAAAGTCCATCACTGAGTTCAAGGTTATATTCATCAAATATTTCATTATTAAATGCAACTTCTGCTAGTTTATTTATTTTTTCAATACGATCATTTGAAAGTCTATCGTTTAATTTTTTCTGAAGTTTTTCATTTTCTAGTTCTGAAACTTTATTTGGATGATATTTAAACCCGTTAAATTCTTTTTCCTCAGTTTTGATTTTGCATTTTCATAATCATTAACGTTTAATAATTCACAGTCTTCCTTTTTAAATAAATGTTTAAGATATTCAGGATTTAATACTCTACGTTTATATGCTCCTAACTTAGTTCTAAAGGTTTTTCTACAAAATTTAGGAATTCCATCCTCTTTAATGTCATCAATGATTTCCATTTCATTATTTTCAATTTCTTCTTCTCGTTTATGAGGTCTTTGATTATGACTCCATTGATTCCATGAAATTAAATATTCTTTATCATTATATTTATACCTCATTAGCTTATTTTGGCTTTCATATTCATTTAATAATTCACAATCTTCATTTTTAAATTGAAGTTTAACCCATTCAGGATTTAAACAATGTTTAATTAATCGCGGAATATCTGACATCATCTATATATAGCTTCTTTTATAAAAGATAAAAAAATAAATTATTTTAAAATTAATGTTAATTTTTTAATGGTTTATAAATAAATATATTTTAATGCATCGTCTATATATAGATGTAACAAAAAAAGTCACTAAACCCGCACTCATCTACTACTGAAATCTTGAGAGTTTTTTTCATGAATGTATTTCAGCATGTACCATGGATATGCAAAACACAAGTGCATTATAAGAGCTAGTACTCTTACATAGTTTTTATCAAATAATAAATATGTTCGAAAGATGACTACACAATGTAGATAATTAATGATAAAAATCATCAATGTTTAATACACATAATACTTTAATACAACCTATTATTTATATATGTAAACGTTATTCCTTTGTTCAAAAGTCTTCATCTCAGCTTATAATTACCAGAACAAGACCAGCATGAATAAAGCTAATCACAAGCGTAGCCCAGTCTTTATTTAAAATAAAAAGCATATTTTTGTATCTGAAACATAATCACACAAATTAATTTTATGAATTGAATATTATTTTTAAAAATAATATTCAATTTTTGAATAATAAAGATTAAAATATGATTTACTAGATCTATTATCGATAAACATTTGATTTATGAATTAAATTTATTGATAAGGTGTATCTGGGGAGATTGTTGCATTATAAATAGGTGTCTGGTTGTTTTGTGGATATCCTTGAGGCTGAGGGTAAGGAGGATTTTGGGGCATGCCTTGATTTGGATAATAAGGCTGTGGTGGAGGATATCCTTGGCCTTGAGGGAAATCACTGAGTGCTTGTGCTTCATTATAGTCATTCTTATAAGTCTTAACTTTCTTTGATGAACTTGATGAGCTAGATTTGGACTTTGACTTTTTCAAGCAAACTATTATTACTACAATAATAACGACTATGAAAACGCATCCAACAATAATTCCTGCAATTGAACCTGCAGATAAGGAGCCACTATCTTCCTCTTCAGTAATTCTTTGTTCTGAAATCCAAATTCCATTTTCTTTATAAGAAATATATCCAAACTCGTAATTTGAAACATATGAATCAATTATATAAGTGGAATCTGTTCCGGTTTTGGCTTGTTTGATGGTAGCTTTAAATTTAACTCGTTGAGTGTTATTAAAGATTATTAATATTGGTTCCGTTGATGTTAGTGTATTTAATTTAGTTCCATTAACATCTAGAACTTCTGGTTTAAAGTCGTTATTCATTTCAATTGAAACATTTCCATCGTAAACGGCCGCAACGACCAAAATCTTCTCTTTGGAGCCATCATTTTTAATTTTAATCTCATTATTACCCGAGATTACAATACGATTTTCGAGTTTAGATGAATCGAATTTATATAAGATGAAATGACACTCTGTTTGTTCTCTACTACTTAACGTTAGTATAGATTTACTCTGAACTTGCACTGCCAGAATTCTTCCTAGGTGTAATTCATTCCATCTGCATGTAATTTTGCCATCAATGCCATCATAATTTGTCATCACAATGATTGTATCCTTTGGAATTACATAGAATTGTGTTATGTTATTGAGATTAATTGAGTTTTTGCCATACTTTAATCTTGGATCTAGACCTAAGAGATATGTTGGAATATCTGGAGCATATCGTGGGAATGCATATTTTGTATCAAATCTTCCTACCTCGACATCATAATATAAGCTTTGAGAAAAAGAGTATCTTCCATCAACAAAAAAACACTGGCATTAGAAAAGCCTTGGAAGTTTAAATTAGTAATTTTAAGTGACAGCATATTAGTATATGTTTCAACTTTTGAATCTAGCTTTTTGCCTTTAGTTGCATCGCCATTTTGGTAATAGAATAATTCATTATGTGGATTAGTGTATAAATCAGTTAAAAATTTATATGGGCCAAATATGTTCAAGCAGTAACTTTTTGATGGCTCCATATGTCGTTGAAATGTATAAGAACTATTTGCTTCTGGCTTTAAAAAGAATTCTAAAGTAGTGCAATCTGTTGGAATCATAAAAATTCGCTATCAAATATATTATTTTTATTTTTCATATCACAAAATCAATGTTCAGAAAAATTCTAAGTCATTGTTAATATATATGTATTTCTTATGTTCATATTAATTTTATAACATTTAGTTTTCCTATATCCGAAAAAGTGACTATTTTGAAGTTCTCAATTTGTCGATTATTTTGAAATTATTCATAGAAAAACTATCTGAAATCAGAAATCAATCGCTGTTAATTCAAGACGTTAAAAATTTGTTTATTGCATGGAATACTAAGGATTAACCCGATCACAACTTAACTTTTTTTATTGTCAAACTTCAACGTATTTTTATGATCATATTTGACAATATTTTATATTAATAATTCATATTTCAATAAAGCTTGTTATTTAAAAAGTCGATTTTATGATAATTTAATTAAAAAAATTATTCTCACAAAAATTATCAAAATATTTACTAAATCAAACAATTTTAATGAATTTAGGATTATATTCTGTCTCCAATGGTTCTTCTGGATATTTCATGAAGATCCATTGCGTGTGCATCATATCTACTTTGACTTTTGCCAACAAAGCATCAGCAACTTGAAGAATTCGTTCAGGTTTCAGTGTAGAAAGGTATTTATTGTATCCAGCTGATACATCGCCACCTGACGAACCTTGCATACATATATATGGAAATGTCAAAGCGACGGTAGCTGTCATCAAAAATCTCAAATAAGAAAGAGGATCTTGGTGGCAGAATAATCTATCCCAAATAATGAACAATGTTTGGAGAGGGAACCATCTTCTTAATAGAAGCAATGTAGGTGATAACGTGAACAGCAAATTCTCTTGTTGAACACTCAAAAGCCATTTGGAAACTGGCGAAATATGTGATTGCAAAAGAGAAAATGCTCTTTCAGCAATGAAATTCCTGTTTGAATCCATATTCTTGAAAAGTAAGTCATTTCCAGTAAGTTTCAATAACCCATAGAATGACCAGAAAATAAGGTTAGTTGCTTTATTGAATTCAACTTCTGAATCATTATATAATGTCACTTTTTCATCTGTCACTTTTTTGAAATAAATTTGCATTAATGCTGCTGCTAAATCACTCATTCCTTGGATATATCCGACATCAGCAACCAAAATTGCATAGCAGATCAATACTTCTTGAAGTGCTTTATGTGCTGGTCCGTCATTCGTGAACAGGGATTGGTTTCTATCCGTTCTTCTGACATCTGAAACAATGACACTATAAAATGGATGATAATACTGTTCTTGATCGGGAATTTGGCTCTGCCAACGGGTTAGTGTGTGCATGAATTCTTCATAAAGTGTATCGAGGTGCTGCTCGTTTTCTTTTGGGGTATATTCTGGCTTGTAAACGTTGAAAATGTATAAATAAGCTAATGGCCTGATATCATCAGATAAACCATGGATAAAAATATCATTTTTCAGTGCATTTAGGTCTTTTAGATGACCAGATGCATCAAAGTATTGTTCAAACTGTTGTTTTGTAATAGGATTTTTATCAATTTCTTTTGAATCTTCCAGAAGCTTAGAAATGGATACACTGTTTGCTTGAAGATAGGCAACATTGTTGTAAAGAATAAATTTATCTGGGCAACTAAGAGTTTTTTCTATCTCAATGTTGATGTTGAACGATGTTGGATCGTTTTGAACAGGAACAACAGAATTTTGTGATACAAGATATGTAAACATTTGTTCTATTGATGCTATTTCAGATTCTGGGAAAGTGAAAGTGACATTTGCGCGAGAATCTGGAACGAGGAATCGAATTATTGTAGAATTGTTTTCGCCAATAGTTCTGGTTATTTTCTTAAGTAAATGTAAGAATATGAAAATTTGTGATCCTTCAATATTGTCTGTATCAAGATTTAAATTATCGCATTTATCAGGTATCCATTGAAATGATATGATGCCTTTTTGATCTTTCATATGTAACTTGCCAGGATGTGGTTCTCCTGATTCAAATATAGAAGCACCACTTACTGTGAATATTTTCTTTCCGGAATCCATTTAAATAAATGAAATTACTACAGTTACAAAATAATTTTTATTCTCAAAAGTATTCATACTATGTCAGAATTAAATCTGAAAATCTTATTATGATTGAAATAAGATTTAAGTCTAGGATATTCTTCAAACAATAGAATCATAAACTGTAAAATATGAATAGAAAATATGTCTATGTGTGCTAAAGCCAAAGATTTTATTCCAAACAGTTGAATATCGGAATTATTTTATAGAAATAGAATATATGGGAAAATATAATAAAGAAAAAAAGTATCATATACTCATGTCTAAATATAATAATGAAAAAAATTTACAGACTTTGAATGAGAATCTATTGAGGAGCAGGAGTTTCAGGAGCTGGGCTACTCTCTGGCTCTGGTGGTTTTTCTTGGTTTTCTTGTGTCTCTGGATTCTCTTGTTTTTCAGGGGATTCCGGATTTTCTGCATTTTCTTGAGATTCTTGGTTTTCAGCGGCTAAAGCTGCTTCTTCTGCAGCTTTCTGCTTTTCCAATTCTCTCAGAGCACGCTTTTCCTGTCTCATCCTCTCAGCTTCCTGTTTGAGCTGCTTTTCCTGTGTAATAGTCATAACTGGTGGCTCAATGATGGATTTGTTGGCCAAATAGTTGTGATAATATTCATTGAGGATAACGCGAGGTGGTTCCATGTGAGGATTGGAGAAATTGGCGAAATGTTTGTTCAATTTCTCGAGATGCTTAGCAAATACACGGTCCAAATCAGATTTCATTGATTTGTAGAGTGTTTCTGCCATTCTTTCCCTTGTAACTGTAAGCTCTTCGAGAGTTTTATTCGAGCTATTTAATAAAGTTGTAAAATCTTTGGTCTGTTCGTCAAGTAATTGCTTTACCTTTTGCTTGTAAACGGCTGTGAAGTCAGCTTCGCGTTGGCCAAAAAGTTTGCCATTTTCAGCTATGGCCTCTTTTGCAACCATATCAGCTTCATCAAATTTGCCTTCATTTGCAAGTTTGCGAGCCTTATCGATTGCTCTATTGTATTTAACGTTTTCAGAATTGATCAAAATTCTGGAATAAGTTTGAAATTGGGACTCATCAAACTGTTTTAAGCAAGCCAAATGTAATTGCTGGGTGTTTTGGAACTTGGAAGATATCTCTGTACGTAGAGCAAGTTCTTGTTGGAAGCATTGTTTCCTGAATTTTTTAATTTTCTGCATGTTTGCCTTATAAACAGGATCCAAAGCGTCACGAAGCATGTAGCAGTACTGTTCGATATTTTCACGAATGATTCTAGCGTTTACTATCTCTATTTCATTTTGATACCTATCAGCAGCTAAATAATTGCGATCTCGAACTGCCCTTTGCTGTCTCCACATTAATTCTCTTAAAGTTTCTTGTTCAGCCTTGGCTTTCTCTGAAAGTTCTGAAGTAACTGACTGATTATCTGTTGTTGTGGATTTATTTGGACTAGATTGATTGACTGCATCTGTTTGATCTTGCTTTGTTGGCGTTTGGCTTTCTTCTGGAAGCACAACCTGAGTTACAGGTTGTTCCGATTCCATCTGAGTAATTTTTTTTATGAAATTACAAATTTCCTCATTATTATGAACTTATGATTCTTTCTTGATAAATAATTATTTTTGCATTAAAAAAAACCTCAAACGCCTCAATCATAAGTCATCTTCCAAAGATTAATGTAAATTAGCTTGAACCATTAAAGATCCATTAATTAATAGCCAGATTTAAAGTTATTCTGATGCTGTTGAAGAAAAAATAGAAGAAACGGAAAAATTTATCCTGATTTAATAGGCAATCATATGAAATATTCACTCTCACAGCATACCTATAGTAATTGTATTGAATTTATGCCAGTTTTTTGTTCAATTATCTCTTTGATCATCGATATTTATTCGATTAATCAATGAACTAAGATACATTGACCATGCTTACTAACACAATAAGTGCTTGTGTATGTGAGGCTCTAAATGATAGATTACAACAAGTTGGAGCATTTTTCAGATCTTGGAAATTTTGAGAAGTTTACATCATTTGACGCCCAGCTGTCAATGGTGCTCTTAACAGATATCAAAGTCTTCGAGGAGAAAGCAAAAGAAATGATCCAAGCAGATCCAAAGAAGACCCGCCTCACAACAAAGTATAAAAAGGATTCACACATTTTTGTTATGAAAATTTTCAACGGCAAAGACGCATACAAGATTAATATAGAAAAGGAAAATGACTTCAAAGAATCACAAAGAATTATTTCTTCATTACTCCACCTCATGACAAACGAAAAGTTAATTTAACTTTAGATATTAGACGCCTTATTATTTTTTCTTTCTATATTTGAAATATGAATAAAAAGACATTATATTACAAACAAATTGGCCAAGTCTCTCATGAATTTGAGACCAAATCTTCTTTCTAAAATTTTTTTATAATAAGCCATTAGAAAATAACATAAAACATATTAATTCTGATCGTTTCTGAGTATAAAAACTTATTGAAACTGATTTTAACCATTAGAAAATCTTTCCATATTAAAAATCTCAGCAAAATTAATGAATGAGAACGTCAAAAATAGATTCTTTGTAATTGCACGAATATATGTATAAGAAATAAATGAAAATAAACAAAAAACAAAAATATTTATTCATAAATTCTAATTATCTTGAGACGATCTCTCATCAAGTATCATTAAGAACCTAATTACAGCTCTCTGAAGCAATGTGTTATCAGAATCTTCGAACGATTCAACAATATCAATTATATCTCCAGAAAAGAACGCATTTTCTGCCGAATTTCTGATTTCTTCATTATCAACTACCAGTATTCTGCTCATTATTATGCAGGAAGATAATAGAGCTTCTTGATCTTGGTCATCAATGAAATTTTCAATGAGATCAATCAATTGGTAGCCATTTATAAGTGAAATTAGGTACTGTTCTTCAATTCTGTCAATAACTCTTCCTATTGAAACAAAGGCTTTTCGCTTAATTTGGAAAACTCCATTATTTAGGCTTTCGAAAAGGATTTTGATAGAAAGAGTAAAGAATTCATTACTGATATCTTCATTATGAACAAGAATTGACTTAATAAGGCCAATTGAAATAATAATGGCATCAGGATCAGTAATATTAGTGAAAAACTGAGGGATATCGATCTTTGATATATAATAACTCCTCTTTGATGGCTCAGATTTCTTACAAATTTGAGATATAATCTTTGATATCACTTTTTTGAACTCTAAGGAGTAATTAGAGTAACTTCTAAGTATTGTCTGAGCTATTGGACTTGTAGCAAGTTCGTTGGCAAACTGGGGTCCGTCAGGAGAATGAAGATAAGATAAAATTCCATTTAATGCTGGCAAGAAGAGTTTGTAGTTAATTTCTGCGTGGTATAAGATATATTCAATGAATATGTCTGTCTCTGGATTGTTCGGAAGCCTTTCAATGTAAATTTGGAAAATATTACAAACAAGTGTAATAACTTCGTAATCAGGATCTTCAAAACTTGTTAGTATGTCGTTGAAATCGCTGTTACTTGCAGCAAACTCTAAAATTTCCGAGTTCCGCTGTAGAATCATCAAAATAACTGTTAAAGCTGACCTTCTTATGTATTCGTATTGATGTACTGGCATATTTATTTGAGAAAATATGTTATTTATGCTGATATTACTTGGATCTAAATTTGTTGAGTTTTCAGTACAAATTGATGGATCTTGAGATAGCATAAAGAGATCTCCAACGAAATCTGTATTCATACTTTCGTTATCGAATATTGGATGATTAATTTTGCACGTCAAAATTAGAGCTAAAATTTTTAATGCGCAAGAATTGATTTCTGTATCAATCTTTTGCATAATTAAGATATGTAAAAACGTTATGTAATCGTTTGATTTCAGATAATTCAAGATCTCTGGTACTTCTTTTTCAATTTGAAGTGAAAAGTTTAAAGAATTGAACATGTTATCAAGAGAAGATTTGATTGTATCTATACTTTCAGCAGAAGTGAAATTTGTTTCGATAGATTTAGATGCTGCTTCCATATTTTTTTCGAAGTCTTCGATATTAAATTTGGATGCTTTTTCTTTGTTCTTATCTTTAGCAAACCTCTCTTTCGGTGATTTCATAAATTCAACTTTCTTTTCTACCTCGTTATTGTCCTTATATTCGGATTCCATTTATTAAAATTTTTACTTTTATCAAAAATTGAATAACTATTGAAATTCTAAAATCTCAATTTTTTTTTTGAAACAATTTTATAAGATGGAAATAGTTTTTTCAGGGGTAATGATACAAAAACATTGATGTTCAAGGATATCTAATATAAATATCGTGATTGTTCACATATTACTTATAAATTACCGAGAGAGGGTCAAAGTTGCTATTTGTCACTTTTCCACAAGAATATAATGGGGAAAAAGTTATCATATAGTTGATCTCATTGACTTAGGTGAGAGATGCATGTAGTGTAATGTGATAAACAGTGGGATTGCTGCTCTAAGTCCTAGGTTCGAGACACATTGGCTTCATTTTTCTCTTTTTTATTGACGTAAACTATTCAATTTTTGTGTTATCCATTCAAATTTCAGAATTTTTTTTGCAGATTTCACGCTACATTCGAAGTTACCTTTTGTAACAACCACCACCGCCTACGAAAGACGAAAGTGTGTCACGATTTCACCCGGAAATCCGACGGTTGTTTAAGAGTAAGCACTTTTGGCACCTACTCATAAATTACCTTAAATTTTCCTTAAATTTTTTTCTCTGCATTCTCCTTATATTATAAAATATATTATAAAATATATTATAAAATATATTATAAAATATCTTATAGTTTCTAATGAATACTTGGAATTGTTTCCATTATGCAGTACTTAAAAATATTTGTTGAAAGCTTATGAATTATGGGAAATGGTTCTATTAATTTCCCAATTACGTATTAAATAGGGGCTTTAGTAATCATAAAACAATTTCATTAAAAAATGGAATTACCTCTCTGGCAAAATATGTGTATCCTCACTTTGTAATCATTGAATGAATGGAACTCTATTCTCCATCCCACTATCTTATGGATTTTATTACTTTTTGTCGCAAAGTGTGTCATATATATTTTTAGAATAGATCTAGTGCCATTCATCTTCGAATATATCAGAAAGAGGGAAAAGGGTGACATCATGTGAAATAAGAACTTTGGCTATTTCTTTACAATGATTAAATGCGGCAACATGAAGAGCGGTTTTTCATTGAAGTTTTTGATTTTTATCAAATCCATCTCTTTCGGTGAATAGGATGAATATTTCTAAGTCATTATACATAATTGCTTTGTAAATTGTATTTTTTGTATGAATAGCTAAATTTCTTGATGTAAATTTTCTGAAATTAGACTTATTTAATTTGATTCCATATTCTTTATAAAATAGGAAGTTTGAAATTAAATCAGCACTATCAACCTCTGTGACATGATAATTATCAGTTTGGCAAGAGATAAATATGACTTTGTATAGCGGTTGTTATACGGAATGATATCTAAAATATCTCTTATAATATTTTTAGGGAGATATTTCTTTGAATCAATCAATTCTGTTTTGATTATTTTGTAAATTGAGTTTAAATCTTCTTCATTTTCCGTTTTCAGCTGATACAACGCATTATATATATCGATATTGTATTTAAAGGTACTTTGCAGCTCACTATATTTACTTGGGTTCACATCTTGTTCAGACATTAAAAAATTTAAAAGTCTTATAACAGCATTTTACCATCTAGATTATCTTTAAAATCTAGATTTTGGTGGTAATTTTTCACCAGAACTGAAAATTTTTTTCAAAAAATATTTTATTTCATTATCATTGAAATAGGAAATTAAAAATAATAGTAAACTTATGAAACAAACATAATTTATGAATAAACTTAAAATGCGCACAAGCAAAAAATAAATTTGCCTTACAAAATAAAATTAAGAGGAGAAAATACTTCCGACTGATAGTTAAGAAGTTTTCGTCAATAAACATTAGATGTTCAATTGTGGTAACACTAATGGTAAATCATTACTCCATCTTCTGTTGATATAATCAGGACAGATAGAAAGGATTGAAGGTAATGGAGGTGGCTGGACATACTTTGGAGAGGAAACCGAGGAATCACTTAATGTTTCTTCAGAAGACTTATCAGAACCATTAAAGTTATCATTACTTGGTTTCAGCTTATTTATGCGAGAATCAACATAAATAATTTGGTCATGATGCTTGACAATAGTTGAAAGAACCTTGTGGGCACTTGCAAACTTGGAATAAGTAACAATCACGGCAAGATCATCTTTCTTGCATACAGCAGCATAAGTGATTGGAGAATTTTCGTTAGTATGAAGGTAATCAATGATATCATTAAAATTGACACCATTAAGAAGAAGATTGAGGGCTTCATGATAAGATTTGGCTACTTGATCTGCATTGTAGATGCTTTGCCCTGGATGAAACGCTATTTTAGTAAAAACGGTACTGTTGAATATCTCACTAAGGCCAAGTCCCCATGTCTCTTGGATACACATGATTGCGATTTCATTGTATCTGTCAGCTTCTCGTGGCAGGTAAACGGAGTATCCAATAGTCTGTAAAACACGACAGAAACCAATAATAACAGTATTTGGAATCTTGTTGAGCTTTACAGTACGGTAATTTTTGAACTCATTTCCAAAATTGGTGAGTGAATGTACTGTTCGTCTTAGAGAACGTGCATCTCCTGGGTTGAGTGATTTCAATTTCTGGTTTATTGAAGCAAGAAACAATTGCTTGGACCGTTCTCGCTCTGTCTTAGATTCCATTATTGAAAATAATTTTTTTTTCCATTGTGAATATTTTCCAATCAAGTCTTTATTAGTTGTGAAATCAATTTGTCTAGTAGAAAGGAGTATTTTTGATTTCTTAAGTTTGTATCGGGATTTTGGCTTGAAAACATCAATTGATAATTTTCATTATAGGAAGCAATATATTGACTTATCCAAGCTTGATTTGACATTTTCTCAATGTCATTCAATTTTTTGTGAATGATTGCCGATGACAAGAGATTAAATTTTTGTGACAATTATAGATTGGTATTGTTATTGAATAATCTTACAACATTCCATAAATTCAAACTGTTTGAGAGTTTTGGAAAAGAGGGATATAGATATGAATTAATGCTTTTCGTTCAATTTAGTTTTAAGATTGGTCACCAATTTGGCAAATTTATTTCAAACTTATTAAATAATATTTTCCAAGATTAAATATTAATATATTTAATTTTTTAAGTATGAATATCTATTTTTTGGAATTTATTATTTTTTGAATGCGTTTTTAATTTTGAAAAGTAATATAAGAGTCACTTTTCTGAAAAGTAGATATATAATTTATATTAAATTGTTGTATAAATAATAATTTCGTTTTCCAAATTTCTGACAAAATTTTTTCATGATTTGGAGAGAAATCCGATTTATCACTCAATAATTGTATTCATATCTTTCGCTCAAATAAAAAATCGAAATCTTCGATAAAAATTAACGATGGGGAAAAAAACGGAAATTCTTTATTTCATTTTAAGAGTTAAATAAACCCCAGTTGTATAATGAAAAATGAATTTTTATCTTTGTTTCATAGTTTTATCGTCGGAGTCTTTACACGAAAAAAAATTCAAATCATGGATGACAGAATCCCCATACTTTACGGTTCGAAATGTCTTGATGTTATTAAATGTTGTTTCGATTTGATTGCAAAATAAACTTTTTTTTGATCAATTGAAATCCATGAGTAATAGATTCATTGATGTTTTATTGATATCGTTCGATCTATATGGTAGATGTGAATCTGTTTCTATATATTTAGAATAAAGTTTTCGACACTTTAATGACAATTGATGAGATTAAAACCAGAAAACATTAATTCGTATGAATGATGAAATTTTATGCTCACTATATAAGTATATTTGATTGTTAAGTATACAATAAAGTATTGATTTCTCTTTTTTTTCTATTTTATTTGTTTTCATTTTGAGTTTCTGATTTTGGAAACTGTTTCGTATATTATAATGGATCCAACAGTTGATATATATTCAATAATTATTATTTATTCTGAAAAGATGGAACAAAATTTAATTTGTATTTTGAAGATTTTTGTATCCGGCAAAATAAGAATATATTTTTGAAGGCAGTGATCTCAAATAATCAATAACTGTAACTTTCTTCTTTTCTTTTTTTGGTCCTTCCATCTTTAAAATATATGGATCATCAAATTGTATAAGTCTATAGATGTGTTTATTTCCTTGTGGTTCATAAAGAGCAGCTAGCTTATTAATTCTGTTATATTTTAAATTAATATCGGCTGCAAAATGAAAGAGTCTTGATGCTTTTTCAAGTTTGTACATTTTGTTAAGTGCTCCTATATAATTATTGATTGGTTCATCATATCCGAAATTTTGCATTTCGGGACCTTCTTTGAAAATTATTGGATCAAAATATGTGATACTTTTAGGATCAATATCTTTCGTTGAATAACCGGTGAGTCTATCTAAGACTTCTTCAAATGGAAGATCTGTTCGGATATCAAATTTAAGAAGAACTTCACCTAAATATATGCCATATTTAAGGTTTCTGTAAACAAATGTATCAGCAACAACATGTATGACACCATTCTTTTTAAATGAAATCATGAATGGAAACTTATCTCCTGCTTGAACATGGTAAAAACATGGTTTTTTGGCCTTAAATTCTTTACTTGCATTGACCGTTTTAAGCTTAGCATTGAGAGCTTCAACAATAGCTTGATTTGTAATCAACAAACAAATTTTTGGAAATACATCAGGTATAGATAATGGACGCATAAAAAAATGAGGGTAAAAATTATTAATAAAAATTAGGGGTTCACTCCAACGATAGGTAAACTCAATGTCACTTTTTGCGATTTTAGATTTGATATCTATTTTAATTTCTGATATTGGAAACTGTTTCGTATATTATAATTAAGGATCTCGTTTGGAGAAATAACGGCTGGGATCTCCAAATTCCAAAATATAAGCTTCTCCAATTTTGTAAATTTTCATGTAAATTATACCCTATTTTTTACAAGTATTACCCCTAGTTTCTTATCAAAATGTCGGATTTTATCTTTACAAACCATTAGATTTGTAAAGTTTGAAATGTCAAAACTCCCAACGAGTTCACCTCACATTTTCTCCATGGAGACGTGGAGAAAGTATTCAATTTTGAATTGGTGGAGAAGACAGACTAGTTCAATTTCTCCATGGAGATGGAGAAATGGAGAAGCTTTGGAGACGGGCATTGCCTTCGTTTTCATGGAAACTTCCTATGGGCAATATTTTTGGGATTTCAATGATCTACTGATCCCAAGAGATAGTTCCAATATTTGTTTAGATATATTATTTGAATTTTTATTTTTTGGATATTTACTCCGCATTTATGGCGAATTTATACTATATTTCACCTATAGATATTAATCACTACCACAAAATATCATATCACAGAATTTTTATGCATTTTCAATTTAAATCAATCTTTATTTGATAATACGAATAAAACTACAATATTTTTCATCTAATCTATTAATGATCTCTCAGATCATCAATAAAATTAAATCTAAAATATTTTTCATTGATTCCCAATAAAATCAGTTTAGCCTAAGGGAGTTTGCTTTCGCATTTCTATGTTGATTACTTTCATTTATATTATTCATGAAATTACAAAAATATTCCTTGATATAATTTGCCAATTCTTAATTGAATGTTAAGTACTTTCTAAATATCAAGTTTGAGCACAAACTGAGTTAAATTTAGGAATATGACTGATATTGATATATATTTTTCCAATTTGAAGTTTACAATTTGTAAAGTGTCTACAAACTGAATTTTAGAGTTGGAGAAGATTTTTCTCCATACGAGATCCTTATTATAATGGATCCAACAGTTGATATATATTCAATAATTATTATTTATTCTGAAAAGATGAAATAAAATTTAATTTGTATTTTGAAGATTTTTGTATCCGGTAAAATAAGAATATATTTTTGAAGGAAGTGATATCAAAGAATCAATAAATGAAGCTTTCTTCTTTTCTTCTTTTGGTCCTTCCATCTTTAAAATATATGGATCATCAAATTCTATAACTCTATAGATATGTTTATTTCCTTGTGGTTCATAAAGAGCAGCTAGCTTATTAATTCTGTTATATTTTAAATTAATATCGGCTGCAAAATGAAAGAGTCTTGATGCTTTTTCAAGTTTGTACATTTTGTTAAGTGCTCCTATATAATTATTGATTGGTTCATCATATCCGAAATTTTGCATTTCGGGACCTTCTTTGAAAATTATTGGATCAAAATATGTGATACTTTTAGGATCAATATCTTTCGTTGAATAACCGGTGAGTCTATCTAAGACTTCTTCAAATGGAAGATCTGTTCGGATATCAAATTTAAGAAGAACTTCACCTAAATATATGCCATATTTAAGGTTACTGTAAACAAATGTATCAGCAACAACATGTATGATACCATTCATTTTAAAAGAAATCATGAATGGAAATTTATCACCTTCTTCAACATGATAAAAATATAGTTTTTCGACATTAAATTCTTCGCATACATTGACCGATTTAAGCTTAGCATTGAGAGCTTTAACAATAGCTTGATTTGTAATAAATAAACAAATTTTTGGAAATACATCAGGTATAGATAATGGACCCATAAAAAAATGAAGGTAAAATTTTCATATTTAATTTTGTGAGTTAAGATTAATAAAAAAAAATTAATTATTGCATTAGATTAAATATGGGAATTAATTGTTTCGATCGGATTAATTTCAAAATGGTTTTGTGTCGGAAAAATTGAAAGATAAAAGCGGCTTGGATTTTAACAAAACAATAAGATATTCATGAGTTCAATCATGATCAGATCAAAATTATTTTTGCAGATTTTGTAGAGTTCACAATTTGTATCATGAATTTTGCTTTATAAAATGGAGAATATTTTGAAATTGCAAGATTAAAAAGTACAACAGGTAATTTCAGGGAATTTGGTTGGCAATGTCATTGCTTTGAATGATTAGCGCAATTTTAACGGTACCTTTAAATTGAACAACACAAATTCTAAATAGATTTAAAAATGAAGTCTCAAAATAATTTTCAATGCTCGATTTTTAAAATTAATTTAAAAATGGAGCTTATATTGAAATAATGTAGAGACTAAGAATTATCACAGACTATTTCAGAGGATTGAGTGATAACTCAATCCTCTGAAAAGTTTGAGGTAATTCGAAAAATTAATTTGATAAATTATTATATCAAATTTTGAATAGCGTCAAAAGATTTTGTGATAATTATTTTTTGAAACAAACCCCTTTTTTCATTTTTTTTTAATGACCAAAAATTTTATCCCAAAACTTGATGAATTTATTTCTCTAATCCCAGATCAATATTGGGACTTTGGGATATCTGATATTGAAGATTCTTTTAACAGATTAAAATTGATTTCGAATTTAATAGAATCATATTCATGCTTTTTTCCTAGTTTCACAAAACCCTCTTCACCAATCGTTTCAAATGCAACTAATACTGTTATCAATTCAGAAATTTTCCAAGAAGTTTTTGATCTTCTTAGCGAAGATTTAAATTTATCATATAAAACAAAATGTTTTACCAGACAACAACTTTCTAGATTTTATGTCATTATGTACTTATTTCACAAGATTGAAAGATAAAAAACTTACTGGTATTACCAAAGGATTTGGAGTAGAATTTTTAAAACTCTTCCTCAGGTAATGACCAACACATTTCAAGTTTATGCCTTTGGTATGTGTAGCAATAAAGCAGATGAGCAAACAACAAACAACAAATGTAGCCCAGGATGCAAAAACAGATGTGCCGAAATTTGGTTTACACTTGCATTCCTTTTAACATTCGCTTTTGAACTCGTTCGATTTTGGGTTATTGAACGCAGCAGACACCCAATAGTCCAAACATTTAAAACTTCTCTGTTATGGTCTGTTCCAGGTATCTGTCGACTGTTCTGTGAGAACGTCAAAATATTCGAATTTTTAATCTGTTTTTACATTAGTATAGCGGGTTTTGTTGTTGGAATCAAATATTTTGCTGATTGGATTTATACATGTCATAAAACAATGGAAGTTTTTGAATACTTAAACATGTATTCGTCTAGCAAAGACAGGGAGGAAGATTATTCCGATAATGGAATTTTAGATGCAAATCTTGATAATCAAGAAAATACTCAACAAGATGAATCCTCGTCAGCTACAGTCATAAACTCAATTTAAATTTAAATTAAAAACCAAATTTTATTTTATTGATTTGGTCTCACCCTCTCAGTATTAGTAATTGATAAACTGAAATTAAGAGGACTATTCCTACCGTAAAGGGTGTTTGGGAGTCACTTGACTTGAGGCTCTAGTCCCACATGATTGCTGTATATAGTTAGAACGAATGGATTATGAGAAGTGAAAATATATTTGTATGTGCGGCAGGGTAAGATAATGTAGACATATAAAATTTTCAAATTTAATTTTGTGAGAGTAACTTAATAAAAATTAGGGGTTCCCCCAACGATAGGTAAACTCATTGTCACTTTTTCGATTTTTGATTTGATATAACCGATCTTTTAGGTACCGAGTTCTCGAAAAATCGGCCATGATAGAACCTTTTTTTCTGGTATGGACTTTTTTTTACTGAAGTTGTTTTTCTCAATAATTTACCCAAAATTGAGGTAAAATCTAAATTTTGCACAGATGATAATATTCTTGCCGCAAAAATTGAATCTAATTCGCGATATAATAGACGTATATACATAATACGAACTGAAATTGAAATTGTAATTTTTGGTAAAAATGAAAATATATGATCAATTTGTGTTCAATTCAATATGACGAAAAGAATTTACGAAAAAAAGAAAAATTTCAAAAAAATAATAATAATATTTTAGTATCTTGGACGTTTTGTCTCTTCTGAGCCTTGGAATCTCTTGACTCGGAATGGCATAGGTAGGGAATGCATCATGAATGACCATGGTTTCTCATAAACAACAAGTTTCTTACCTTTGACGAAATCTCCGAAAAGGAAGTCCTCGTAAGGGAGGCGGAACTTTCCTTTTTCTTTCATAGAGTTTGCAACAAGAGTGACTTGGCTAGAAACAACAAGAACTCGGTTAGTATCATCTGGATCGAACGAAATAGATGTTGGAGCAACAATTTCGCCGAATTTGCCGATGTTGATGTTCGCTGATGCAACAAGCTTCTCTTCACTGACGTCATATGAAAATATCTTAGTACTAGATGTAGATACGAAGAGGAGGTTAGTCTTTGGCTTGAATCTGATTGCTGAAAATGGAGATCCGAAGTATGGTAATTCTGTTGACTTCCCATTTAAGTCTTTTTCAAAGGAAACTAAGCGTTTTAGACCTCCTGCCACTATATACTTCTCACAAACAGCGAGTTTGAAGACTGGAAAGTCAACATGAGCGAAACTTCCGTCTGATGAAAGAATATCTCCGGAAATTGTAGCCATTATGAACTCGTTTTCTCTATTAATAATTGCTGATGCCTTTGGATGTTTCTTTTCTTTGTTCAATGTCCAGTTTGTACCATCATATTCTAAGAATCTTGTATTTGTTGAACTGTAAGCGACATTTTTACCATCTGATGAGATAGCAACTGCATCAACAGGGTTGGAGGTCTGTAATCTAACTTCCAAAAAGGCTTCTTCGCCGTTTAAGCGCCAAATTGAAAGTCGATTTCCTTCTCCACCGACGGCAATGATATCGTCGCCTCTGGTGGCCACGGCAATGGGTATTGGTACCTGGAAAGGATGTATAAGGTCTTTGCTGCAGATACAGGCGTCCATTCCTGCTGAAATTACGTGTTTTTCGTTTGCAACGATACATGTAACGTCGTGAGTATGGAATCTTTGTTGGTTACGTTGTACCCATTGGCCATCGTCGTGTTCGAAGGTCACAACGGTCGGATCAATGCCTGCAGCGTATAAAAATCTTCCATTTGAAGCTAGAGTCAAAACATCGGCTTGGTGGGATGCAAAGCGTGTTTCTACAGTATCTGTCATTGTATTCCATATGATTACGTTACCATTTGAATCTCCTGAAGCGATTTGACCGTTTGGAAGGGCGCAAAGTGCCCAAACGGATACTTCTGAAGATGTTGTATCGCGTGCGGCTACATTTAATGTATGACTGAATGTGCGACTCTCTAAGTTGATTTGTACGATTTGTCCTGTTGAATCTCCTGCGTAAAGAGATCCATCGCTGCTAAAGCAAACTGATAAACATTTAGAAACGAGTGCATCTGATGTCTGTATAAGATATAAATTGTCTTTTGTATTAAATACACGGACAACTCCGTCATCGCAAGCAATTGCAAGGAGAGATTTGTCGGAACTGGTAGCTGCTCCCCAAATGGCACCACCAAAACTGGGTGATTGCCCTACAATTTGTAAACTTGGATAATTATAAATTACAACTTCTCCGGAAAATAGACAAATTGCGAATGCTTTTTGCTCTTTGAACTCTGTCCATAGGACTACGCGAATATCACGTGGTGTTGTCGCTTGAAAACTGCACATGCAATGCGCATAATTCTGAACATCCCAAATTTCGACATATCCGGACTCTCTACCGACAAGTAAAGTATCGTCGGAAAGAGAACATGATACAATTGGAGATGGTACATATTCAAAAACTCTGATCCTATGAACGTCGGTCATTGCGACGATAAAAAGGACCTAAATTTTAAATTGAATAGTTTACAAAATCTTGATGTGCTCTGCACTGAAACAGAATTTTTTATGTTTAAATTATAATAAATAATTGTTGCTGTGCTAAATCTTCTTTTAAAATAACGGAAATTGCAAAATCATTGCAAAATTTCTTTCAAAAATAATGTTTTTAGAAAGTATATCTATATGGAGGCCATTTTCAAGCGAAACCAGCGTATCTGTGTAATGTGTTGCTTCTTTTTCTCTTAAGATTTTTATTATTGAAAACGATTTTATCTAAAGATTCAGATTTTAAGTTGTGGTAATAGTTCCACCATATTCTGTGTCTGTGAAACCATCACGCTTGAATATTCTTGTAATTCGATGTCACATGGGCTATTTAGAGAGAAAGCTGCGAAGAAGACTCTGTTGACGTTGTCTGGTTCCATTACGGCATTCATCGGTCACATCCTATCGAAGTTTTCAAATTGGAAGCATTCTTTGACATTTTTGAATTATCAAAGCTTCGGACACCAGTATGTAACGAAATCTTTTATCTCTTGCATTGAAAATTTGGTAAGAACAAACCTAAATTAACTGATAAATTTCAACAACTTGGCAAGATCTCAATAAAATTATCTAAAAAGAAGCAAAAAAAAATAAAAAGGAAAGAGATGTAGAAAATTAAACAAGAATTTTAAACACTACTAGTATATCAAGCAAAAAAATCTATCCGCAAAAAAAATTAAAATTAAATTTCAGTTCAAAGTATATTTCATCTGTTGCCATTTCGGGAACTTATATGTTGTCTGTGTTGTCTCAATATTCTGAGGCGAAACCTTCAAATAACTCGTCGGACCGCCCAATCTAAACATTCCTTGTCCTTTTCGACCATTTAACGCGAAACTGATCGACTGCTTCGGAGCATCGTCAGGAGGAAGTCGAGCTTTAGGTGCCCAATTGTCACTTTTCTTTGGAGGATCAGATGGAGCCAAAAACGACAATTCCTTAGCAACATAGGACGTAATTGGTGAATCGTTGCCGCACAGGTAGTGGAAAGTCGCTTCGCAGCACTTTTGGCCCAATTCTTTCCAACTAATTTCGTCATATAATACTCCAGCTCTCGGACCACTCGTAAGGCCTCCGAAAGACGTTTCTATCGTGAAGGATTGGACCACATTCAATTCTGAGCGCACAACGATACGTGCAGCGCTTTTTCTATCGGAAGGATACGAAAAAACACAATATTGCCATGCAAAAGCGTCAGAAAGGAAAGAAAGGATCCTCGGGTAGTTCTTTTCCTTGTCTCTGAGCTGTGGGTCATCTGTATTTGGGCATCCGAAAGCGAAAGTACCATGAAGTCGAGCGTGGCCGTGAAAATCCAAGTACATTGCGACTTCTCTTTCTTTCGAGAGCTTTGTAAAGAGGTTCTTGGCTTTAAAAATGATGGGATGTAATACTGGATCGGGTTCTGTCCATATTCTGTTAAGATCATTTCCGGATAATGATATTCTGTAGAAACCTTCGACAACGCCATCAATATTCATCATGGGGATGATCTTAAATATGTAATGGTCGAGAAGATATTTCGATGCGCCGCTTCCGCCAAGTAAATAATCCATAAATCCGTGCATCAAGTAAGAACCGTTAGATTCGCCAGGATGAATACGGGCGGTAACGAATATGTATGGTCGTGAGTTCATTGGTATCGAAGAGTGTGGAGAAGTGATGGTATAAATAGGACAATCGCGTCCTCCTAAAGTTTGGCCAAGCGTTTCAACTACCATTGTAGCTGCACCTGCTGTGGCTTGCCACTGTTTAGTAAATCGTGTTAAATCTGAGTATGTGTAAGGTAATGCGTAACATAAATAAACTTGATCGTTACTGTAAGGGAATTTTATGTTAAATTGGACGGAAGCGCGTTTCTTTTTTGATCTTTTTCTTGTTGTGGTGCCATATTGGTAATTTGTGCCACCACGCTGCCAAGAAATGTTATCTCTTCTCGCCTGCTTCTCTGAATACCAAAATACCTTTGATCCTGTGCAAAACAAGCTCTTTTTCTTATGAAATCCGGAAATAATGAATGTATATTTTGCATCTTTGCGAGTATTTGAAATTCTAAAGTAAAACCACTGAGCAGAGCCAATGGAGTTGTGGTCGTATTCTAAAATGAGATGATATTTATCGCCTGATAAGTGAAATGCTCTACTTAAGTTTCCAGACTCGAATCTGCTTTCAAATCGCAAAATTGTGTCATTTTGTGAGGTTGGTGGACCTAATGACTTGGATGGATCTTGTATATCATAGACAAGGGTTCCGGATCTCCATAAATCATCAGGCCATCTCGTCTTCTTGCTAACAGTCGCAAATGATGAAGGAGTTATTGGAGGAGAACCGCGATGAATCACATAATACACATCTTTAATCGATGTTGTTGAGTAATTGAAATCGCCAATATCTTCCTCCTCGCTCTGGATTAATGTTTCATCATCAGAAGACATCAGTTTTCTTTTTCTAGTTTTTTTTTCTCCAACTGTTATCGGCGTGCAGCAACACTGCATTTCAATAGAATTCTTGAGGTTGATTTAATTGCTTTTATAGATACTAAAGACAACACTCCTTTTAGAAAAATTAGTCATATTTCAATGATTATCCTGAATTTGTTGTTAAAATAATTTTATCTGCTAAGATTCTGGCAGATTTAATGGATGGATTTGTTTTGTTTGTTAAAGAGAGCTGAAACAGAAGAAACAATGGAATTTTGCAAAAGATATTAAAGATTGTTTCATAGTTGTAGCACTTTTCTCTGTTGATTCGAATGTGTTAACTTTATTAAGTCTTAATTACCAAAATATGAAGAATTAGAGATGAAATTTCCAGATCTGATAAGTGACCTTTATAAAAATTATAAATAAATTTATTATCAATTTATATTAGCGGATCAGTTCAATATTTAATTAAATATCTCTTCGAATATATTAGCAAAAGATGATGCGTTTCTGCTGATACTAGAATGACTCTGTAAGGAAGATGAAATAACAACATATGTGATGTTATTTTTGTTTATATCTTTTAAAATAATTGGATTGCTAGAAGTAATTAATGCTTGAACATATCATATATGAAGTCTTTCTTCAAAAGGTTGTAAATACTTGTGAAATTATGATGTCATCTGTACAGGAGACTGCCATTAAAAATGACTGTCATACTCCAGTCTCTATGTATCTATTATATTTATTTGCCATATGAAAAAAGAAATTCGGCTGTTTCTTTACTATTATTTTCTGCTGCAATACTGAAAGCGGTTCTTCCATCATTATCTTTTTTCCTGATATTTGCACCATAAGAAAGAAGAAGTTCCGCTATTTCTTTACAATTTTTTTCTGCTGCAATATGAAGTGCGGTTTTCCCTTTATTATTTTTTTCATCGATATTTGCACCATATGAAATAAAAAGTTCGACCATTTCTTTATTATTATTATATGTTGCATAATGAAGAGCAGTTTGCCCATCACTATAATTTTCATTAATATTTGCACCATGCATAAGAAGTAATTCTGCTTTTTCTTTACGATTATATAGTGTTGCCATATGAAGAGCTGTTTCTCCAGATTTACCTTTTATATTGATTTTTACACCATATGAAATAAAAATTTTGACCATCTCTTTACTATTATTGCATGCTGCATAATGAAAAGCTGTTCTTCCAAATCTATCTTTTTAAAGAAGTTTGCCCGATATGAAAGAAGAAGTTTGGCTGTTTCTTTAGAATTATTTAATGCTGCAATATGAAGAGCAGTTTCTCCATAATCATCAATTTCATTGATATTTGCACCGTATGAAATACGTAACTTGGTAATTTCTTTACTGTTAATTTCTGCTGCAATATGAAGAGCATTTTTCCTATTAACATCTTTTTTCTTAATATTTGCATAATCGGGTTTAAGAAGTTCTGCTATTTTATTACTATTATTTTCGGCTGCATAATAAAGATTTGTTTTACAAAATTCACCTTTTTCCTCGATTATTGCATCATGTGAAAGGAAGTATTCACAAAGAGATGGAATAAAAAACATCGCTGAATAAGCAAAGCATCTGTTAATATCATTAGTTTGATCAAAATAAACTAAAAATGATTCAAGATTTTGACTAAATCCACAAATTTCTAAATTGATCTCTATATTAAATTCATTCATCAAGAATGTAACAAAATCAATGTTGTGTGAAATAATTGCATACATCATGCAATCATTATCAGGTTTTCGATATTTCAAACATTCATTCAAAATATCCGGCTTTCCGCTTAAAAATGATAATTGAAGACATTTTTGAGTTATTCTTGATTTAAATTTCGTTAATAAAAACTTGAAACAATCGACTGCTCCGTGATAACAACATAATTCAAGTAATGAATATCCTACGGATGTAGTTGGATATAAATCGCAATTAAGTCTTTGATCTATATCAAATCCTTCTTTTTCTGTGAATGCGATGAAAATTTTTAGGTCATTATACATAATTGCTCTGTAAATTGAATCTTCTGTATGAATGGCTAGATTGTCTGTATTTATTTCTTCGAAAATATAAGATGTTTCTAATTGAATCCGAAATTCTTTATAAAACAGGTAGTTAGATATAGCAGAAACACCCTTAACCTCTTTAACATGATATTCATCATATATGCATTTTGCAAGTTCCAAATAAAACTTTGTATAGCGATTTTTATAAGGAATAATATTTAAAATGTTTCGTATAATTGTTTTTGAGAGATATCTCCGTTTATTAATCAAATTTGTTCCGATCATTTGGTAAATCTTGTTTAATTCTTCCTCATTTTCAGTCGTCAACCGATATATCGCATTGTATGTATCGATATAGTATCCGTAGATCCTTCGGAGATCAAAGTATTGGTTAGACATTTAAAAAATATAAATTTAAAAATCCTTTCAAATTTTTGAATGAATTGTTTTTTTCAATGTCAATTTTGGAATTAATTTTGGAAAAATTGTAATATCCGCAGGGCATAAACTCCAGCAAAATGAAATTTCCAAAAGAATCAAAACATCAATTCCAAAATGGTTGATAATGTTTTGAGAACAGCTCATAGAATTGTCTCAAATTGTAAAAATTGTTGATAGAAAAAAATTCCACAAATTGTTAGTAAGGAGTTGATATCAATATTAAGGGGCTGTGTCTATTGATAATGATTGTACTGGAAGTTAAACGTCGTCATTTATCGTTTTTCCAAATCTCCGATTTTTTCTAATTTTTGAGTGAAAAAAAAACCGAAATTCTAAGAGACAATTTTTTACACAGAATATTATCATAATTTGGAACATTATCCAATTTCGATTTGAATATAGATTGATTTATTTTAAAACGACTTTCAATAAAACGCTTTATTTTTTAAAAAAAGAGAAGAAAAAAAAATATAATATAAACTGCTTGCCCTAAGGTGGATAATAGTCAATTTTTTTTTACATTTTTAGTGAGTGGAACGAAGACTCTACACGCTTTGCAATCACAAGATATGTGGCTTAAATGATTGGGTATGCAACATAACTACATATCTTGACGCTTAAACCGAATCCATTTTAAATCATCAGAAATTATTCCGACCGTTATGCATTACAACTCAAAATCTCTTATGCAACCATAGCATACTCATACTAGGAACTAAGAATTCTTCAACAATTTACTCTAAAAGCATTTAAACGTTCGTCCAAATCACGCAACATTTCTCCTCATACATACATTGCAGAAACTTACGAATAAGCACATGTTTACCATATCAAATGATGCTCCTTTTCAACTACTTATTTCTATTATATTTGTTCTATTTAGTAAATCATAACTTTAACTTTTGGAGTTTTCTCCAAAAATAGATCCCACTCATATGTCCGAGCTACCTAAATACTAGTTTCTCTATATCTCGGAAAACGTGAAAAATATAATTATAATATCTCATAATTTTCATTTAATGAGTTATATCAAAATTCCACTCCGTCATTTCGATTTTTTAGGTCTTTCCGGACCTTGCTGCATTATTTATTTTTATATATTTTGTTTTGTTGTTTCTAAATAAATTATTTAAGTTGGACGAAAGGTGGACAATAGTATTGAATATTAAAAGGCGGTTATTTTTGAGAGGACTCATTGAATTCCTTTCAATATTGTCCACGTTAGGGCAAGCAGTTTAAAATAAAATAAAAAAAATCAATGAAGTTTGAAAGGAATTTCCAAACCCTGCATCTCGAATTTGCAGATTTCTTGAAGATCTGGGTGTCCAGGGAAGAAAACGTTTGCTTTGACAGAAGTATCCAAAGGTTGTTCCTTGAACCAATACGAAGCATCTTTGACAACTTTGATGTTTGTCAAAGATTCGAATTTCTTCATTTCCTTGATGAAAGGAATGATGTCGTCAATTACTATCTCTCCCATCTCCTTTGTATTAGGATTTTGTGTCAAAGCAGTCTTGTATTTATCACTTAATTGAGTGAAATGGATTTCTTTGACTTGTTTGACAACATTGAATTCTTTTTCGAGGAAAACAGCGCCAACGAGTCTTTCGTCGTAAACAAACAAAGGAGGAACATTTACAGTATCCAAGAAAGAGTCTTCCGCCAATGGTTTCCAGTTTAATATGTCATCATTCGAGAAAACATCGACAACAGGGAATTGCGACACCATTTTCGATGCAATTTGTGGAGGACCGGCTTGAACTTGGAAATTAAGTTTAACTAATTCTCTGATGAAAGCTAAGACACCTTCTGCGTTCTGAGAAGACTGGTTCTTCACAGCTATTTCTGCAATGGCTGCAACGTCTTTTTGAGCTTCACTCATCGATGCGAAATTCTTGATTTCGTTTGTAACAACAATTACAGCTTCTTGTTGTTCATGAGATCCATGTCTAGCGAATTGTACATACAAATGGAGGATCTGTAATATGAAGTCTTTTGGCATTTGTGGGCAATACTTCTGGCAGAAGTGTTTGATATTATTTAGGTTGCGACTTCTTCCACTCAAAACGCCTTGAACAATGTATTTTCCATCTCCTCCGAATCTTTGCTGGAAAACTTCGGACAAAATGGAGATCAAAACAGAGTCAGAAGCTGCACCCCACAGAGAAGGAATCAAAACAAACATTGATATGATTGGAGACATTTCGTGTTTGAGTAAAATGTCGAAATAGTTTGCTTTGATCAATGTTTTGATGACAGTTGAAATTTCATCCAACAAAACAGTTGATGCTTCAGAACAAAGGAAGAAAAGAGGAAGAATTCCATCTCCTACGGCATCTTTAAGGACTTGTGGATCTTTCAATTGTCTGATGTAGACACCAACAATTCTTACAGACAAAGCGTAAATCGCTGCTTGATCAGGAGTGCAACATTTCATCAAAGCAACAGCTGTACTGAAGATTTCTGTTGGATAACATCTTGTGTTTGTAACGAAACCAAACAAACATTCTAAACAAGCAACAATGTAGTTAATCGCTGGTTTTACGTCGATTTGACGTTTGGACATTGTTATTTGTGATTCCCAATGTTTGTTGAACTGAGAAATCTTTGATGGATCAGTTCTTTCGTTCAAGATATTTGAGACGCATTGAATTGCTCTCAATAACAAAGGAATCTCAGAAGATTCGATTTGGAAATGGAGGTAATTAAACAATTGAAGAGCGCGTGTTGCAGCAGGTAACCAACCACAACATAAGCCCCATTCCAAGATGAATTCTCGTGGACATCTCTTGATGTAAGGACCGATAACTTGAAGTGTTTTCGCTTTTTCCGCGTAAATATCTAACATCTTGAAAATGATTTTATCCATGAGTTTCGCGAGGTTTTCATCAATCATGGAGTTGTCATCACCTTCCGCTGAATAAGTACTTAATATTATATCACAAAAAGCGATTAAATGCGGCTTAACTTTCTCAAGAGGTTCAGAATCTTCTGAATAACATTCGATGATCAATTCCAAGATGAAAGTAATGATTGAAGCGTAATCTGCCTCAGAGTTTTTAACTTCTTCTTCAGGATTTTCGTTGAGGAAATTCTCTGAGTTTAACTTTCCTTGGATTTGTATTTTATAGAAGAACCAAGCAGACGACATCAAGTATTTCATGATGTTTTCAATGAACAAATCAGGCTTGATGTTATAGATATAAATAAGGAATATCATAGCACTTGATTTGTATTGAGAATTCGTCTGTTGCAAGTTGCAGAGCGTGTAAATGAAGAAATTGATGTTTCTATCAATTATACCATTGATAATGATAGCAATAGCAGGAATTAATCCGAATCTATTGCACATAATCAACAGTTCTTCAATGAATCTATGTTTTGTTATCGCTCTAAACTCTGGTTCGCACTTCAAACAGATTCCTTCTGTTTCAAGATTATAATGGAATGATGTCAACCAACGAGGAATGAAGGAAATGATGACTTCTTCATGGTTGAAATCAATGTAATCCAATTGTTGGTGTCCAGCACTTGTTAATTTCTTAAGTGCTTCATCCATGTTCGTGCCGAAAATTGAAATTCCGCGTTGCATTGATGATGTTTTAGAAATTCTTCTTGATGTAGAAGACTTTCGCTCACTTGATCTTGATGCAGAATCTCTATCTAAGGAGTTTCTCGAGTGTATACTTGAAGAATCCTTTGGTTTCAACACAATGGAGATTGATTCTTTGATGAATTGTTCATTGCAAAACTCAAAATGTGTTGCAATTAACTGTGAAAGTTGATAGATATCGTTTTGTATGAAAATAGAGAAAGAAGTCATCATTCTCTTTCTTATATCTTTGATTGCTTTGAGGACAATCACGCAACTCTGTGCTTCTTTTCTGATGAAAGCTGATACTAAAGCGAGTCTTTCGATGAAATTCAAAGCGCTTTGGCGTTCACAGGTCATTTGGGATGTTAAATAAGCGAAACACAAAGCGAACAATCTACCAATGTTTGAGTAGTACAATTTGATGAGTTCTGTCTCTGGTTTTCCTGTACTTTCTAGTATGGATTTGTTGAGTTGGTCCAAATTAGAGATCAAATCATTTGGAACTTCTAATTGCAAAGCCATACCTGCGAAAATAGGGAAACTAAATCTCGCGTCATGCATGCACATCTTGATTAGTTTGGAAGGATCATGAGCAAAGAAGTAGGAGGCAATTGTAATGTCGTGTTTTGAGAAATCACTGAGTTTTTTTATGAATGCATTATATAAATTGACAGGGATCTTTGAAATTCTCAACCAACTTGAAAAAGCGGAAATTAATGATGGCATCGCAATTGCTGATATGTTGAAGAAGAATGTGAACCATTTAGCACCATCAAACAAATGTCCACATGCTGATTTGAGGAATGTAGGTGACTCTAAAAGACCCATTTTGATCTTTTGTTTGTGGTAATCAAAAATTTTGTCAAAAACATATTTCAAAGCATTTCCGAAATTGTTCAAGAAGACTAAATCATTTGTCTTCAATTCCATCTTCAATTTTGCATTGCATGTCGATGAAATAATGCCTCTCCTTATGATAGTAATCAATGCGGAATGTAATGCAGTGTAAATTGTCACTTTTACAGAACCGTCATCATTCAAAACATTCAAATTTTGGCGTTGGAAAGCATCACTTAAACACATGATTAAAGAGTGTTGTAATTCCCAAATTGGCTGACCTAAAAGAGGAGTAACAGGTGCAAGAAGTGAGCAACTCAATGAAGAAAAGACTGCATTGAGTAACGATGGATTTTTGTTTTGAACAATGATTTCAACCATTGAGTGACAAATTGATTGAATTCTGTGGTTATCGAAATAAATCATCGGAGAAGGAAGGTTTCCTGTTATATCATGTATTGATACAAGCATCGCTGTGCAGTTCGCAAGATATGTAACATCATTCTTCTTTGTATTTACTTGCATCAAAATAGATGTTAAAATTTTATACATCACTAAAAGTGACGATGTAAAATCAGGATGAATTTGGCCGGACTCTTGTGCCAAGTAATATCCTAATGATGCAATGTAATACACGTATAAAAGTGAATAGTTAGAATTGGCTACATCAATAAACTTTACATGAGGTAAACCATTCAATTCTGTTTCACTTTTGTTAGAAACCGTTTTAATCGCTGCAGTAATTGCTCTCTGACTTATTCTATCACCGTAAGTATTAATGAATTCCTGGAAATAGAAAAGTGTCTTCTTTTCGATAGACATTATACTGCACATTTTGAAGATTTGTGCTCTTAACGATCTAACAGGTACGCACAAACCAATGATAGCGATGTAATTGACGGAATTCAATGTATCCTTACTGAATGCAACGTTTTCTTTGTTGGCGGCTTCGAGAACGTGCATCAAAGTTGAGATGACATTGATGATGGCATTAAATGACATTTTCTTGTCAATGAAGAAATTGCAGAGATGGCGAACAGCGTGTTCTGCAAACGAAGGAATACGATGGACAAGGGCTTGAAGAACTCTATTAGCTAATGCCAATGTATAGGAGGATTGTGAAAAGACCATTTGACACAAATAACGTGCAAGTTCTGAATCTGGTTCAATGTAAAGTGAACTCAACAATAATTCTTCTTCTAGAGGGATTTTTTCAGAGACACTTTGGAATTTGTCATCTGTCTCTGTGTCTACGTCATCTTCTGTGTATAATGGTGCTGATGACTTGTCAATTTGTTGGATTAATTCTTTGATGACGCGATTTGAGCTCGAATGTGAGTTCATCGTGTTCGGAAGTGGGAAAGATGTCTGGCGCAAGGTCTTTAACATACGAGGAAGCACGTTTTCTTTGTCTTCGCCCGATTGTGATAAGGTTGCTGTAAATGATGCGACGTTGCACATGAACATGTTGATCGTTGGATCGAGACTGAGCTCCATCATAGTTTTGGTGACAAATGTAAGCATATCTCGCTTGACATTAAGGAGATATTCGTAGTTCTGATTATGTGACTCGAAAGTTGGGATAATTACGTCCATGGCGTGGAAGAATGGAAGGAATGGTTTGTCAAAAATCGATTTGTCGGTGAACTTTGGCATGATTATCTGAGAAAATAATTCAAGATTCGTAAAAGCGAGTTGTTCAAGGAAGATATCGACGTAGGTGGTTTCGGGTTTGAATAAGGAGTTGTTTTCGACAATCCATTGGCCGATTGTTTGGAAGAATTTTTCGTCATCGTCTAAAGATGGCTCCCAATCGAAGTTGTCGTGGAATCGTAAGCGCATAACCTCTGGTTCGTAATTGGCACCGCGTAGTTTTACAGTCAATTCGTAGCAAACCCTTGAAATATCGTTAAGATGTTTCGAAATGTACTGATTGTAGAAGTTCTCGACTGGAATGAGATCGGAATCAATATCGAAGAAGTTTGTAAGGCCAGCGAAAAGAGCGCAGAGTGTCTCAGAGCTCGTGGCGTTGTTCTTTACGTAATTATAAAGAGATTTGTAAACCGAATTCGTAACTAAAACCTGATCTGTAACGAGGGTTTGCAATGAAAGGTTGAGAAGGAAGTCTTTGAATATGACTTGATTTCCGGCGTCGCAAGATTGAAAATCACCGATAAATTCACTAAAAATACTTGTAAAAGTAGCATCTATTTCTTCGGGAGTCGTCAGTGAAGATGTGAGTAGGAAGAAAATCTTTTTCTGCTCAATGTTCTGGCATTTTCGGTAATATTCAACCAGAAGTTGAAATGTGTAGATTGGATTTCTGGATGACAAAAAATGAATGGCAGCCGAGAAAGATTTGGCTATTTCCATCTTAATTAGGAAGTTTGAGATTTCATCTGCCGCTTCGATCGAATTTATAATTGAATCTACAAAAAAATTAATAGAACTCTCAGGTAATTCGTCTACATTTCTGAAAAGTTCGGCTGCAAAGTCAGAGATGACAATTTTCGTAATGAATAAGATTTTTGCTTTTGTTTTGCTGTCGCTCCAATCGATTCCTTCAAGAGCTGAGGCGAAGAGACTGACTACGCCATCACTATCGGTTGGTCTTGATGTTGTTGATGCTTTGATGACAGGAAAGGCTTTTTCAAAGAATTTGTAGTTTTCTTCTGGATTTGGAGTAGCGAAAAGACCACAGTTTGCAATGAATTGCTGATATGAATCACCCTTGAATCCGAAAGAAGTGATAAACAGTTCAAAGTTTTGTTTTATCACTTCTTCTCTTTCACCAGTATCTTCTGAAGGCCTGAGTAAAAGATAATGTTTGGCCATCTTACCTAGCTCTTCCATAAAGGAGTTAATCTCATTAGAAAGAATGGAAGAGCTAATCTGGTCATTTTTCGTCTTCATTTTTGAGGCAAGTTTTGTCAATTTTTGGAGTACATTGTAAATTTCAGATTTAATATTTCAGAAGAAATCGGTAAAAACTATTTAGTTCAATATAATATCGTTAAAATAATAATTTGAAATTCGAGAAAAGCAATTTTTGACATGAAATGATATCATCTTTAGATAATACGCAAATAAGAACCCTTGTGATAGTTCAAGCCTAAATATAGTATGATTTATTGAGTAGGTGCCAAAAGTGCTTACTCTTAAACAACCGTCGGATTTCCGGGTGAAATCGTGACACACTTTCGTCTTTCGTAGGCAGTGGTGGTTGTTACAAAAGGTAACTTCGAATGTAGCGTGAAATCTGCAAAAAAAATTCTGAAATTTGAATGGAGAACACAAAAATTGAATAGTTTACGTCAATAAAAAAGAGAAAAATGAAGCCAATGTGTGTCGAACCTAGGACTTAGAGCAGCAATCCCACTGTTTATCAAATTACACTACATGCATCTCTCACCTCAGTGAATGAGATCAACTATATGATAACTTTTTCCCCATTATATTCTTGTGGAAAAGTGACAAATAGCAACTTTGACCCTCTCTCATGATTTATTTGAAAATATTAAAAAATCATTGGAAAATAAGAACGCCAAGGAATTTAATGTTACATAATATATGTATAGACAAAATTGTGAATATCTTACTTAATAAGACTCTTAAGGGTGCACACGAGAGGATCATGTAAACTTCAGAATTTAGAACCTTATTTTTAGGCATTATCTGGTACCTATTTAGGCTCGAAAAGCAAAAAATATCAAAAAATACAACTTGACTCCATTATGACCCTTTCATGGAGGTAGTTTTTATCCGCTAGTATTTTCCCTTTGAATCTCTTTACAATTCTAAATCAAATTCAAAAACTCAGTAGAAGAAAGGAAATCGACTTACTACGGTTGTAATACGAATAAATACATATATTTAATTATTTTTATTTACATAATAATTGTTTGAAGCTCATATTCCAACAAATTTTTAAATAAAAACATTAAAATGTTGAAAATGTTCATATATTTTAATAGGGTTTTGGCACTTTATTGAGGAATTACTACATACATAGTCGAACTGAACTTGATATTTTGAAATTTAAATTATTTATCAAAATTAAAATTTAACTTGAAATTTATAATTATTTAGTCATATTTTGCATAATTCTAAGTAGATTTTGTAAAAAATCAAGAAAGAAAAATTTTAACGTGCTTTATTTTTTCTTTTTTATAATAATACATATTATTATATAATTAACATATTCATAATGTTTCACCCTTTCAAAAATATAACCTCCTCCTCTCAAATAAACGTACATACGGGTGGCCTCTTTTTTCAAAAAATTAAAATTTGAAATTTTGGGCTCAAATATTAGAGATTTTTTCAACCTTCAACGATATATGTTGTCTATATCAGACCTCCTTTCTTTTTGATACTTAACATTGTTCCTAAATCTTAGCCGTTAAGGCTGTTCTGCAAATATTTTTTTTTCGAAAAAATTCGAAAAAAATTCTTAAAATTCAAAAATCCCTTAATTCCTGAGGATTTTGGAAAAAAGTTTTTACATGAACATGTGTATATTATATGAAGTATATTGATAAGGTAAAAATCAAATTTTATTGCATATTCATCGAGAAAATAAACTAACGAATCCCTCAAAATTGAGAGGGTAATCCTCCTCCTCTCAAATAAACGTACATACGGGTGCACCCTTAAACAAAATAATTCTTCTTTCAAAATATTACAATAACCGTAAATTTCCATATTATTTTGTTGTTGTTTACCTTCGCAGGTCCGAGTTTTTCTATTTCTTCATTTAATTCCATGTAAAAAAAATTTTATTCCATTCAAAAAAAAATTGTAAAGAAGTTGAATGAGCTTTCGAACACCTAAACCTAAAAAATATAATAAAACCAAGAAGCCATTGCAGAGTCCGTCGGTATATTCAGCAACTAGCTCACCGCAGACAAAAGTTTCCCCTGATTTTCTGCATTCTCTCGATGATATGACTGTAAAAGAATTAGAGAAACTACAAGCTGATCTGATCGACCAATTCGATTATGCTAAAGCAGAGGCCGTAAAACAGAAACTCGAAGATAAGAAACAAGAAGTTAAAACTGAAGATATTTCAAAATCGGTTGATTTATTCAAATCCAAAGTGGAAGTCATCATAAACAACTATAACATTAAGCATAATGAGCTAATTGATCGCTACAACCAACTAGAGCGCAAAATCCGCTTTGATGCAAGCCAAGCTTTCCATCAGCTTCAAATCAGACACATTCAGACTCTTGTTGAATATGAGAAAGAATATATTCTCCGTCATTCAAAGCAATCTGTTAAAATTCCACAAAGTGTTTATTCCTTGTTAGATCGAGCTGAGATTGCTGCCCATAACAAAAAATTTGAGCAGGCTCAGGAACTATTCGATTTAGCCAGTTCTCAGAGTCTTTCTTACCACGATTTAGTCAAATCAATAAATATGAAAGACTATTTATTTGTACGCAAAGAAGTACTTCGATCTCAAAAGATTGAGATTTCTACACTAACCGAACAGCTTCGTTCCAATATGACTCGTTTGAAATCAGATATTAGAGGAGAAATCGAAAAATTGAAGACAATGTTTAACAAAGAAGTTACCAACACCCAGCTTGATTCAATGAAAGCAATTAATAAGTCTTTGTCCGCAGAAGGAAGGAAAATCGCTCAAGCACAAATTAGAGAATACTACAAAGATGCATTAAACAGATTTGATCCAAAGAAATAATATTTATGCATCTAAATGTTTTATTATTGCTTTGTATCTGAATATTTATTTGTTTGTAATAAAATACTCATTTTAAATAATTATATAACCACATCAATGTTTTTATTCGATTACATAACTTATAATCACATATTCCTGAATGTTTGTTAAATTTCTGATATATTTTCAAAAGATATAAAGTTTTCCACAGTATTTAGTTAAAAAATATAAGCTTTAAGATTTATAGACTATCTATCTAAATAAATTACATGTAGATTTTGTATAGTATCGTATAATTGAATATTATTTACAGTTGATTGGATTTTCAGAGTTGTTCTTCAAATTGAAGGGTTCTAATATCATTTGTAACATCATATCCGAGTTTTTGATATACAATTTGTCTAATTTGGGCGCGTGCGACATCAAGATACTCTTTTGGACCACTAATAACGAGAGTACCTTTCTCGTCAACAGCAATTAGCAAGCCTGGGAAGCCAGGAAGTGGAGACCAGACTTGATCGCGTGGATAAAGTTCTTCTGGTGGATCCAACTCATAATTGCGTCTATTTGTATCTGAATTTGCTTTTGAATGATCCGATGCTCTTGAAGAATATGCCTGTCTATCTGATTCACTTCGGGAATATCCTTCAGATGAAAACATTTCGATGTTTTTCGGAATACGATAAAAGTGTCATTTCAAATTTCACTTATGATATATTTTTGCAAGTCCTTTAATATTCCAATTTCCTTTGCATATACAGCACGTTCAAAGTATTTTCGCAAGATTTCCCTTTAATTATCATATGAATATAAGTCCAAATGCAAAAATTTGTGTGAAAATCGTGATATATATCATAGAAGAGAATACGTTTAATTCACTGAATTTTTCAAAAATTGAAAAATGAAAACAATTTTATAGAGATTTTTTATGAAATTTTTAATTCTGAAAAAAATTTGGAATTTTAAAATCATTTTTAAGCAAAATCTTAACAGTAAATGTGTAGTATAATAGGAATAAATCTTATTTCATTCCATGCTAATAAACATACAAAGAAAATGAAAACTCATTTTTTTATCTTTGAATCAAATTATAGTTAAACATTGATATTATCTATTTTTGGAAGAAATTACACATAACTGATATCATAAAACCATTTTTTCAGCTATAATTACCTATTATGAAAACCAATTTGATGTTGTTCTAGATAATTAGTTGAACAATTTCAAAAATTTATATGATACGATAACGAAAAGAATGCATATTAATGACTAAAAAAGTGTTAATAGAGAATTTTTATAGAAATTCAAAAGATTGTGAATAATAAGTCTTATTATTCACCATAAAAGTTATATCTACATTAAGTGCCGACTCTTCTTTCTCATGTGGTCTAAATTTAATTAATCCTTCAATTATATCACCAGTTTGGAGTTCAATTGGGTCATTCAGGTAAAATATTGTACTCTTCCAGTGCGTTTCTTTTGTGTATGGTGAGGTGCTTAGCTTGATCTGATTTTTACAATCCAAAAACAGGGCATCAAACCAAGTAGTAAAGCCATCCATTAAAACATTTCTGCTCAATACAAATTTGAACGAACTTTCAAAAAAGATGTCTTTTTCTGTACAATCGCGAATATTAATAGATGATATCAATGAATCTTGGGAAGCAACCATTGATTTATCAACGTAGTCAATATATGGTCGACTTATTATAAAATCTTTGAATGAAGTAAAGTTTAAGTCATAAATCGATTCCCAAGAATTTAATTTCGTATATCTGAATTCAGGATTCTCTACTATATTCAAGTAAAGATTAGCATGTGATGGTAATATTTTTCCGTCTGGTTTGAGATATCTATCTCTGATATTTAGAACAGCCGGTAACATTACCTCATAGTAGAGTGAATATCCCATCCATTCAGATATTATTATGTCTACTTTTTCCGGGAGTGTAATTTCATTTGCTCTTCCTCTTACTATTGTAATAATGTTTTCGAAATTGTTATCTTTGATAATTTTTTCGGCAATATTTGCTATTTCTGTGCATTCTATAGCGTAAACTTTCTTTGCTCCAGCCTGAGCAGCGAAAAGAGATAAGATTCCAGTACCTGCACCAACGTCAACGACAATTTTATCTTTAAACTCGTTTTTATTATCTAATATTGCTTTATTATAAGTAAGAGTACGTATTTCATCATTTATCATTTCATCATGAATCTCCGAAAAAGAATAATTAGATCGATTCTTCTCAGACATTCTTTTAAATGATAAAAATCAAAGAAATCTCAGTTAACAAAGTAACATCATAACATAAAAGGAAGGTAAAAAAAGCTTTTTGAGTTGTATTTTTCAATAGAATCTAACCCACAGATTAAATATATATTTAGTTTATCATGTTTTTGACAAATAACAAATAACAACAAAATATAAGTTCATAAGCTTAGCATTTAATGCTGAAGCCTTGAATTTCGAGATGTTGTAGTAGGACGCTTTACGCCGGCTCTTTTTTGGACACCCATATCTGTTGGTGTGCAAGCCTCCTTATATATTTGATTTCTGAAGTTTCTAATTGTATGTTTTTCATCGTCTCTTAGAGCCATTGTTACATGTTCTGGAGCATCTGGCTCTCGAGCAGGTTTATGGAACTGAGCTACGTAAGGGTGTTCTAGGCATTCGGCTGCCGTAGGACGATCTGCTGGATTTAGCGAAATTAATTTCTTAATAAGGTCAATAGCATCTGGAGGTGCATCTGGTAACTTTTCTTCGAGATAGAATTTCGGTCTTGAGTAAGATAGGTTAGAAAGCATTGTAGATGTGAAGTTAGAAACCATACTTTCAATCTGTTGCTCAGAAAGCGGTCCTGTATATGCAACTATTCTCTCAAGCTGATCCATTGTCGAAGAGCCAGGGAAAAGCGGTCTTCCGCTGACAAGTTCCGCTAAAATGCAACCAGCAGCCCACATATCTACCGATGATGTATAGGAATTGGATCCGAAGAGGATTTCTGGTGCTCTGTACCATCTTGTAGCAACGTAGTCTGTTAAATCTTCTGTTTGACCATCTTCATCAATCGCACGAGCCAAACCAAAATCGCATAATTTAATAGTGGCGTCACTGTTAATGAGAAGGTTTGATGGCTTTAAATCACGATGAATAACTCCTGCTGAATGAACATATTTAAGCGCGACTAATAATTGCCAGAAGATAAAGCGATGATGAACATCTAGAAGTATATTTGCACGAATCACAGCATGTACATCTGTTTCTAGGCATTCAAATACCATGTAAATGTCTTGATCGTTTTCTGCTTTATGAACTGCGAGAAGTTTAACAATTGCTGGACAGTCTTTTAATTGTCTGAGGAAAGTAATTTCTCTATACGTTCTTTGTGCATCTGTTAAATTGCCAAAAGCACCAAAAGCCTTTTTCAAAGCAACTACTTGGCCGTTTTGTTTATTTATGCATCGCCAAACGACACCATAAGCACCCTTACCGATCTTTTGAATGATCTCATAGCGTCGTAATATCTGTCTATCAATTGATTCTATATTTTCATCCTGACTCATTCTCCGGATAAAGAATAAAAAACGTTTAAACGGTTTTGACAATTGGATTCATTTATTATTTTATATTTATTTTTAAAATCAGTATACGGTGTATCAATAGATATCGATTATTTCTCACGAACGATTATTTGAATAAAATTAAGGCAAATACGATACTTTATTTTGACCTTTTTTACACCATATGTTTCAAATTGGATTATTAGAGCATTCAACTCATCCTTAACTATACTTATCATATCAAAAAAAAAAAAAAAAAAAAAAAAAAAAAAAAAAGGTAGTGGGGCTTCCAGGCACTTCGTGCCTTCTAGCCCTGATGTTGATGTTTAGAATATGAGAGAGGTCCTATAAACCGGAGAAAGTGTCATATAAACATCTGTCATTTTACTCAGAATTTTCATGAAATTTACACCAAAAATATATTTTAGGGTAGAAGGGTATATCTAACCTCTTTTCTAACCTCTTTTCTACCCTCTTGAATTTTCATGAAATTTACACCAAAAATATATTTTAGGGTAGAAGGGTATATCTAACCTCTTTTCTAACCTCTTTTCTACCCTCTTGAATTTTCATGAAATTTACACCAAAAATATATTTTAGGGTAGAAGGGTATATCTAACCTCTTTTCTAACCTCTTTTCTAACCTCTTTTCTACCCTCTTGAATTTTCATGAAATTTACACCAAAAATATATTTTAGGGTAGAAGGGTATATCTAACCTCTTTTCTACCCTCTTGAATTTTCATGAAATTTACACCAAAAATATATTTTAGGGTAGAAGGGTATATCTAACCTCTTTTCTAACCTCTTTTCTACCCTCTTGAATTTTCATGAAATTTACACCAAAAATATATTTTAGGGTAGAAGGGTATATCTAACCTCTTTTCTAACCTCTTTTCTACCCTCTTGAATTTTCATGAAATTTACACCAAAAATATATTTTAGGGTAGAAGGGTATATCTAACTCTTTTCTAACTCTTTTTACCCTCTTGAATTTTCATGAAATTTACACCAAAAAAATATATTTTAGGGTAGAAGGGTATATTAACCTCTTTTCTAACCTCTTTTCTACCTCTTTGAATTTTCATGAATTTACACCAAAAATATATTTTAGGGTAGAAGGGTATATCTAACCTCTTTTCTAACTCTTTTCTACCTCTTGAATTTTCATGAAATTTACACCAAAAATATATTTTAGGGTAGAAGGGTATATCAATCTAACCTCTTTTCTAACCTCTTTTTACCCTCTTGAATTTTCATGAAATTTACACCAAAAATATATTTTAGGGTAGAAGGGTAATCTAACCTCTTTTCTAACCTCTTTTCTAACCCCTCTTGAATTTTCATGAAATTTACACCAAAAATATACTACTAGGGTCATTTACGAAGAAATCTCAACAAAGTCTTTACGATGAAGTCTTGACAAAGTCTTTACGAAGAAGTCTCAACAAAGTCTTACGAAGAAGTCTTAACAAAGTCTTTACGAAGAAGTCTTAACAAAGTCTTTACGAAGAAATTCATAAAATTCAAGAGGGTAGAAAAGAGGTTAGAAAAGAGGTTAGATATACCCTTCTACCTAAAATATATTTTTGGGTCATTTACGAAGAAGTCAACAAAGTCTTTACGAAGAAGTCTCAACAAAGTCTTTACGAAGAAGTCTTGACAAAACATTTACGAAGAAGAAGAACTTGACAAAGTCTTTTCGATGAAGAAGAACTTGAAAAGTCTTTACGATGAAGAACTTAACAAAACATTTACGATGAAGAACTTGACAAAACATAGACAAGAAAGTTCATGAGAAATTAGATGAAGTCTTAACAAAACATTTACGATGAGTTTAGATACGATAAGATAGAATATGAGAGGGTCCTATAAATGGAGAAAGTGTCATAACAAAGAAATTTTACTAGTAAGTAAATGTGGTTTGAAATAGGACTACTTGTTTTAGGTTTTTTCCATTGTGTCATTTATTTATTTGACGTGGCAGAAAAGTACAGAGAATATGAAGATGAACCAATGCTGCAAATGTTCAGTATATGTACTCGTAAGAGATATTTTTATCTAATATTAAATGGACGCACAGAACTTAGCGAATGCACAGCAACCTGGACAACCAAACCCAGAGAATATTCCAAATGAAGTTAGAATACAAACTGCAATGGCAAACTATGGTCAAGTGCCACAGATGTACAAATGCAAACTGCCATGTCAAATGACGCTGCGTTAGGCTTACCACATGGTATGCAAATATGAGATGGAAAGAGTTTTATACAAACCTGAAGTGGGATATAAACAACTCTATGCAGATGAACGCGAACACAGGAGTTGACCCAGAATATGTTTTTACCAGAGGAGAAATAAGAATGTATGAGCTCCAGTTAAAGAATGCTATGGAACTCAGAAGGAAACGTAAGAGACTAGGTGGACATTAGATTTTTACATATAGTAAAATGGGTTTCTTTGGAAGAATAGGAAACTTCTTTCGAAATGTTGGAAGAGGTATATGGAATGGAATAAAACCGTAGGAAGAGGAATTTGGAACGGAGTCAAAAATATTGGTAAAAGAGTAGGTCAGTTCGTTGGTATTATACCTAAAACCCTGAACCAGAAGAACAAGCTCCTGTTATACAACAGCTGAACCTGCACCACAGTCAAGTTGGCAACCAAATCCAACCCTCAACCGTATTAAAATTATATTTTTACCGTTCGATAGTAGTTGTATATGAGACTAAGTTCTAAGTAAAACGCATGGTATATGGAACTATTCTCTTTCTTCCATCTGTAAACCATACTTGAAAGTCTGAAATACTTCCACTCGGTGGTTCATATAGCTTTGTAGGTTTTTCGTAAAAGTCATTTGCCAAGCATAAAAAAAGATTTTGTGCGCCAGAAAATGAAGCATGAACTATAATAGCATCTGAGTCGAAAACATTTTCATATGTTCCATTAGGGTTTTCGACTTCATAAAAGTTCGGGTGTACTGGATATTCTGCAGGCTGATTTAACATCCTCAAAAATCTATACCATGCCAAGTTGTTATATTTTGTAGAAATATAAACGTTTTCTCCAAGTCTTCTATTCTATCGATTTTAACAGTTGCATTTTCCTGTCATATATAATATCGAGATGGTACTCTCCTTCGTCAATGTTGTACTGTTTTGCATATTCGAGATAGATATCGTTTATTTTTCTTGAAAAGCTTGAAGAGTTGTTTCTAAGTTTACAAGCAAATTCACTTGTAAAAGTTTTCCCTGTTCAAATTTCTCATACGTATGTTTTCTTTGTTATAGTATCGAATTTCAAAAGCGACCGTAAATGGAAACCATGTATGGCTTTGAAATGAATTTCATTCTACGAAAGCCCAATAGCTTTTGTGACGGATGGGTCCTCTTAACCATCTCAATGGGTAGTCAAAACGATAGCCTTCATGCTTTACGGTCTCTGTCTCAAACTTTGACCTACGTTAGTAAAAAGTTCATCTAATGGTTTAGTTGTAGCAACTCTTGAATTTTCTTTTCTATTGAAAGCATATTTTATCTAGAATAAAAATGTCGAAAGAAACAGCGTCTATGAGAGAAATACAACACAACCGACAACTCATTTGCAAGCTCTAAATAAGAACACAACAAACTTTTCAAACTATTCTAAGATATCTGAGTCATTGAAAGAAGGAAACTTAAAACTGACGATAAACCCAATGACAGATGAGTTTCTGTTTCAAGACAATAAGAACCATACTGTCTGTATAAATCCAAACAAAAGGAACTTTAAACGAGAAACCTATAAATGAACTTCTTTGAAAGCAGATGTTGGCAACAAAGCTGACAAAGAATATGTAGACGATGCAATAGCAAAAGAAGAAGAAAGAGCTAACAAAGCTTATGCAACGAAAGAACATACTCATCCTGAACTAGCAGACAAAACATATTTGACAATAAAATGTCAAGTGAAGTGACAAGAGCTGACAAAGAATATTCTAAAAAGACTCATACACATACCATTGCAAATATTGCAAACTTACAAGAAACCTTAAACAGGAAAAGTGACATTGGACATACACATACATCTTCTGAAATAACAGACTTAAACGTTAGCCTTGAAAAGAAGGCAGATAAGAACCATACACACGATTTCTTCGCAACTGTTCGTATAGAAAATATTGCAGGAACGGTTGAAGAACCTGATGGAACTGGTGGGGATGCATTGTATTGGAAACCTCCTAACTTTCCACAAGGTTTAACATCGGAGGATGACATAACGACGATGAAATACACTAGATGTAGAAATGTCTATGTCATGGAGGATGAAAAACAAAGTTAAATTCACTGCTCAAGATTTATATGATAAAAAAGCTGACAAAACATATGTTAACGATGAGTTAGATAAAAAAGCTGACAAAACATATGTTAACGATGAGTTAGATAAAAAAGCTGACAAAACAGAGCTTCAAACGTTAAAGACAGAAATACTTCAAACAGTATATCCTATAGGTTCTATTTACACGTCAATGAACTCTACCAGACCAGAAGTAGTACTTGGTTTTGGAACTTGGACTCAAATAGTCGACAGGTTTTTTGTATTGTGCAAACTCTCAAAGGAAACAGGTGGAAGTAAACGATTTCAGGTGCAAATTTACCTGCGCACAGTCACTACATAGATTTAAGTACAACTAACGCAGGTTGGCATAGTCATAGATATTGGGATTGGTCATCAATGACAAAAGGTAAAGGATATGATGTTAAAGACAACGTTAAGTTTGCTATAGATTGTTACTGGAGTAACACTGAGGGAGGAGGAAACCATATACATCGCGTTTCAGGGTATACGCAAACAACGGACAAAGTAAAGACTACATGCCACCTTACATGACAGTTTACGCATGGTATAGAATTGCTTAGTCGTCATTTTCAACTTCTTTAGCATATTCGTCAGGAGTTGTCTTATATTTGTTAGGAACTGTCTTTGAAAGTATACCACCTTGAACTTTGACAAGTTTGAAACGAG